CCCTAATGAAGTGGTAGACGAAAGATCTACTGAGTTCTGCGAAGGATAGGATGGAGGAGGGCTTGACTTTTGCAAACCATTGGCGGGCAGACCCCTTCAAAGTGGTGGGGAATACCCTACCCATAACCTCCTCAGGCACGTTGTGGAGTTTCATGAGAGATTTGTATGTGTCAAGATGGTCGAGGGGGTCTTTGGTACCGTCGAAGATCTCGATGGCAGGCATCTTGAACTTCGAGGGTAAGGGATAATTGACTATATCAGCAATAAAAGATGTATCAGTACATTTTACTAGGTAATCCACGGTCTCAAGCGCCTATGCCTTGATGGCATTAAGGGCATTACTGAGTTGGTTTTGCACCTCTCTAATCTTCTCATCCCACTGATTGGGGACATCCTCAGTCAGGTGATGATATTGGCTTTCACGGTCTCCATATTGGCTTTCTCCATCTTCGTTCTCCTGCACAGGTACGTGTAGAGGGAAAACACATGAGCTCCCTGCGCACTGAGGAGGAACTGTTGGGCGAGGGGGACCCTAGCGTTGTCCAGGGGCATTCTGGCGAGGGGCCCCATGGTGGGGGGCTACCTGCCGCCCAAAAAGGAGGGCTCCTCTCCTTTTGGAGGGAGTAGGGCTCCTCCTATAGGGTGAGGGACGCCGCCTCTTTAGGTGAGCATTAACTGAATGATCTGGTAGTTCTGTTTTACCAGCAATTGCATAGTCTATAAAAGTTGTTGCTATTGTCCGGCAGTAATAACAAATGGTTCTGAGGATGTGAGGGGAGGTAGAGCCCCCTCCGGATGGGCCTAATTGTTTTCTCTCGATTATTGACTCATCGATCTGGTAGTAATTGTCATAGATTGAAAGAGAGTAGAAAACTAGTCGTTCCCACAAATGGCACCAAACCGATGATGCATAAATTGGTATTGCACAAGATCAACAGTCAAGTATATGAATGGATGTAATTAATGAGTAATAAATAAGCAATCAATGGCAAAGCAGTAAATAATTAGTCAACACAAATATTTATAGCGGTTCGGTCCAGGTGACCTACACCACTCTTGCGAACGGCAACGGTGGCCGGAGATGTTTTATTGATGAATAAAGTCTCTGAGGGGTGTATGCTCCAGGAGTATTACAATGGTGAGGAAAAAAGAAGCAATGTGTGTAGGGAGATATAGTGTGTGCAGAAATCTCAAGGTTGTAGAAATCTCAAGGTTGTATGGAGAGGGCTTACATTATATAGGTATGGTGGGGCGATGACGTGAGTGAGAGGGNTGGCGTTGTCCAGGGGCATTCTGGCGAGGGGCCCCATGGTGGGGGGCTACCTGCCGCCCAAAAAGGAGGGGTTTCTACTCCTCTCCTTTTGGAGGGAGTAGGGCTCCTCCTATAGGGTGAGGGACGCTGCCTCTTTAGGTGAGCATTAACTGAATGATCTGCTAGTTCTGTTTTACCAGCAATTGCATAGTCTATAAAAGTTGTTGCTATTGTCCGGCAGCAGTAACAAATGGTTCTGAGGATGCGAGGGGAGGTAGAGCCCCCTCCGGATGGGCCTAATTGTTTTCTCTCGATTATTGACTCATCGATCTGGTAGTAATTGTCATAGATTGAAAGAGAGTAGAAAACTAGTCGTTCCCACAAATGGCACCAAACCGATGATGCATAAATTGGTATTGCACAAGATCAACAGTCAAGTATATGAATGGATGTAATTAATGAGTAATAAATAAGCAATCAATGGCAAAGCAGTAAATAATTAGTCAACACAAATATTTATAGCGGTTCGGTCCAGGTGACCTACACCACTCTTGCGAACGGCAACGGTGGCCGGAGATGTTTTATTGATGAATAAAGTCTCTGAGGGGTGTATGCTCCAGGAGTATTACAATGGTGAGGAAAAAAGAAGCAATGTGTGTAGGGAGATATAGTGTGTGCAGAAATCTCAAGGTTGTAGAAATCTCAAGGTTGTATGGAGAGGGCTTACATTATATAGGTATGGTGGGGCGATGACGTGAGTGAGAGGGTTTCTACTATTTTGGTAAGTACAATTAATGTAGGATTAGATCTCCGTACTAATCCCAATATAATTTCCCTCGTACTCCTATTCTATTAGAGGACGATCCTGAGTTGGATTGGACTTGAGTTGGAGTGAGCTGGGTTGGACTTCAGTCAGAGTGGCAAAGTGAGGAGGGATACTATAGAAACAGTGCGAAGGAGAGGGAACGTGGAACAAAGGAGAGCAAGGGTCCCCTTAGGGTGGCCCCCATTGGCAGTTCCCCTNGTGGTTCGGTCCAGGTGACCTACACCACTCTTGCGAACGGCAACGGTGGCCGGAGATGTTTTATTGATGAATAAAGTCTCTAAGGGGTGTATGCTCCAGGAGTATTACAATGGTGAGGAAAAAAGAAGCAATGTGTGTAGGGAGATATAGTGTGTGCATAAATCTCAAGGTTGTAGAGATGTCAAGGTTGTAGAGATGTCAAGGTTGTAAGGTCATGCCCTCTATATGGAGAGGGCTTACATTATATAGGTATGGTGGGGCGATGACGTGAGTGAGAGGGTTTCTACTATTTTGGTAAGTACAATTAATGTAGGATTAGATCTCCGTACTAATCCCAATATAATTTCCCTCGTACTCCTATTCTATTAGAGGACGATCCTGAGTTGGATTGGACTTGAGTTGGAGTGAGCTGGGTTGGACTTCAGTCAGAGTGGCAAAGTGAGGAGGGATACTATAGAAACAGTGCGAAGGAGAGGGAACGTGGAACAAAGGAGAGCAAGGGTCCCCTTAGGGTGGCCCCCATTGGCAGTTCCCCTTGGGGTGGCCTCCTTGGGCGGCACCCTTGGGGTCTCCTTCAGGAGCTGATGTCTTGGTCTCTCTTTGGGCCTAGCCCGGTTGATTTGGACCCGTTGTTTTATTGGGCCTAGCCTAGTTAACTTTGGGCTCGTCAAAATATGTCTCCATAGATAAGAAATTCACTTTTCAAATAATTATCATGAATCTCAACTATTTATGATAAAAAAAAAAAACNCCTAGTTAACTTTGGGCTCGTCAAAATATGTCTCCATAGATAAGAAATTCACTTTTCAAATAATTATCATGAATCTCAACTATATATGATAAAAAAAAAAAACAAACAAACAAAATGGACAGGACAAGCCTATGCCTTCTCGTGGTTGGGGTTGGTGATCTAACCCATTATACTGTAAATCCCACAAATGACTTAAGAAGTTGATTTACATTCCACCAATTCAAAGATTTTATTGCTTTTATGTTTACTTCTGATGTAGCTCTGTTTAAACATAAATGTGTCAAATTTCTTGTACCATTGTCTTAGCGACTGTTTTAATCCTTCCAATGATTTTCTTAGTTTGCACGCATGAGATTTTTACCAGCAACCTGAAACCTTCGAGTTGAGTCATGAAGATTTCCTCCTCCAAATCCTCATGGCTAAATGTAGTCTTAACATCCAGTTGTTCATACTCAATATCAAATTGAGCTACGACGGTCAATAACACATTGATTTAATTGTGTTTCATCACTGGTGAAAATACCTCATTGTAGCCAATCCCTTCTTTTTTCCTTTGGCCATCAACAATGTTTTATATCTAATGTCATTTGTACCGAGAGAACTTTTGTTCTTTCCATATTATCATTTGCACCCCATCGTTTGTTCCCCCTTTGTCAATTGAACGAGCAGCTACATATGGTTCTTGTAAAGAGAATCCATCTTCTTATTCATAACGGTTTTTCCTTCCTTGTAATTATGGTTGTGCGCTCATTACCTCTTAAAATTTAGTTGGCTAATCACTCTTCATGGTAAGTGCATAAAGTAATATATCTTTAAAACCATAATGAATTGGTACTTTGATTATCTTTCTGGCCCTCCGTACTCTCAGCTGCTAAAGATTGTTGATGTGGTTGCTATTCTAATGTCCCCTAATTTTGAACAATATTCTTTGAATTACCAAGCTCCACCTCCACAGGATCACCCTTTTGTCTCCTCCATCTAAATATACTTCTGCTTACTCGAAGTCAGCATAATAGACTCATCAAAGGTCACATCCCTACTGATCACAAACTTTTGCAATTCAGGGTACTAAATCTATTACCATCCATTCCAATTGCATAACCAAGAAATATTACCTTCTTAACTTTTGGGTCAATCTTACTTTCTTTGGTATAAAAATAAGTTGGATAACCAAAGACTCAAAAGCTGTGTTTGGTTGGCTATAATCATGGGTGGAAATGAATATCTCATTCCCATATCTATAATTACTATGTTTGTATATTACTCCCTCCGTTCCTAAATATCTGTCGTTTAAGGTTTTTGCACATGGATTAAGGAATCTATTAAATAGCTCTAATATGAGTAAAAAATAATTGCACAAGACNGGCATAATCATGGGTGGAAATGAATATCTCATTCCCATATCTATAATTACTATGTTTGTATATTACTTCCTCCGTTCCTAAATATCTGTCGTTTAAGGTTTTTGCACATGGATTAAAGAATCTATTAAATAGCTCTAATATGAGTAAAAAATAATTGCACAAGACTAAAATACCCTTATTCAATACGTACTGAGAAGGAAAGGAATATGAAATGTACTTAGCCTCCACCAAATCTAATACATTGAAAAGTTAAGGGTAAATTTGGAAGAAAAAATATTAACTATGTTTTGGTTTCATTAAACGATAGATATTATGGAACAAAATAAATAATGTAAAACGACAGATATTTAGGAACGAAAGAAGTACATTTGATCGGAATTTTAATNGGTAAGGGTAAATTTGGAAGAAAAAATATTAACTATGTTTTGGTTTCATTAAACGATAGATATTATGGAACAAAATAAATTATGTAAAACGACAGATATTTAGGAACGAAAGAAGTACATTTGATCGGAATTTTAATTGGGCATCTCGTTACCATTGGTATCACAAGCCCATTAATGGTGGGGATCTGAAACCCTCTAAAAGGATGGAATTTCGATTCCCAACATGATAGGAATCCCACAAAAGGAAAGTATGTCACGTAATTATCTCCCCAAGACTTATATACCCCTTTGGCTCCTCTTGACAAAATCACATTTTCTTCCATTCTAATTCATGGTAGTCAGCAAAGAATACTACGTCTCATCAACGGCACAACAGGTTAGTTTATTATTCACCTCTCTTTACACATATATGTGTATTAAGAAAGTTTTGTCATGCCCTTTTATATTTCACCGTGGGTGGTTTATCAGTGAAGCGGTGTGAGTTAGAATAGATGAGTAAAAATAGTTTGAACTCTACACAAATTGATGTACAAATTTTGTATCTCAAATCGGTGTTGATGATTGGATTAGTAGCATTCACTAACTTCACCAAATATTCAATGCATAAGATTTTGACACATCACTTGAAATACAAGATTTGGGCAACAATTTGTACATAACAGCGTTATCGAAATAGTTTAGAATAGAACATAAAACAACTATCATGGAAACGTGTTGATAGTGATGCTAATGATCATGGTTTTATATGTTTACAAAATTAATGGTATTAAAAATAGACTTTAAACACTAATTATATTTGATTTTGTCAAAAATTAGTTTACAATGTATTGTAAAAAATAAGTATTATAAAAGGTATTATTGGAAAAATAATGTAATCTTGAATGCCATTCCATATTAGTTTGACATAAACCAAACATAATTTTGGAAATGGATATTGATTCCTACATAAGATAACTGATGACAACCAAAAAATCAATATAAGCTTCCAATGATATCTGAAACCCAAACATCCCTTTACTAGAAATGAGATTCCCATTTCCACGCAAAATTACTGCCAACCAAACAGGCCCTAATGGAACTATAATCAGCTTGCTTGCCTAACCGTACTCCATGAGGAGTTTCATACTCTATGGCTATTGATCGTGATCTATTGAAAAAAAAGAGTAATGTTATAGAGATCTTATTTGGGAACCTTATTTAAGGACTTAATGGTGTGGTTTCAATGCAACCATTGGATTAGTTGTGAGTTTCAATATTAGATGGAGCTCACAACCAATTCAATGGTTGTACATCATTAGGTCCCTAAATAAGATCCCCAAATAAGGTCTAAATAGTATTTTTCAAAAAAAAAAAAAAATTTCATGTTAACAACCTCAGCCTAGAGCTCTCTACCCAATCCAACATTGTATAGCATACATTGTGCTCTCTCAATAAGGTTCGGTTCATACATCCTACAACCCTATTTTGTTGTGGTGTTTCCTTTACTGAGATGCCTTCATCCTCATAGAACTTCAAGAATGGTTGGTACGTGTACTCACCACTATTGTTGGTTTTTAACCACTTGATCTTCTTGATGGTTTGCTTCTCGACCATGACCTTTCACTTCTTGAATGTTTCAAAATTTTTATCCTTACTCTTTAGAAAGTATATTCATACTTTGCATGAGAAATTTTCTATAAAGAAAATGGAATATCTTGATTCCCCTTTTGAGGCTACCTTTGGGGGACCCCAGACATCCGAATGGATGTAGTCAAGAGCGGGTTTTGTGTGTCGGATAGCTGTGATAAACTTCACCTTGAATTACTTGTCAAAGACATAATGTTCATAGAAATCTAGCTTAGTTGTCTTCATGCCACCAAGCATATCTCACTTGCTTAACATATCAAATTCCATCTCACTCATATGGCCCAAACGCATATGCCATAAGTTAGTAGAGATAGAATCATTATCTCCTAATGTAGACACTACCACTATATTACCAGAAAGAAATTATAGAGTTCCTATCTTGATTCCTTACGTCATAACTAGAACACCTCAAACAACTTTAAAAACTCTATTTTATGCTATAATCTTGTAGCTTGTGGAGTCTACGACACCTTCGTTACTAGAATCAAGAATCCATCTGTCTGATGCACTCATATTGTGAGACGAAACTGACATAACATTTTTGGCATTATACAAATTTTCTTCAGCAACATTGATAATGTTGGACACCTAATTTTTTTTTCTATGGTCCTTAGCTTTGGCTTCGGACTATCTACTTTCCAGCGCACTTTATTGTGACAATAATGACATTGAGATTTCAATCTTTAGATTTGGATTTGGATTTAGATATGATTCTGCTGCTTTCAAGATTTCTATTCTCTATCATTTCTCTAACAAATAGACCCACCACATAAGAGTCATTACAAGAAATCTTCTTTCAATATTCATTTGAAAGAAGTAATATTGTGACATCATATGTAGTAGTATCCTTCCTGAAAAGCAATATGGTGACCAGAGGCTCTGCTCTTACAAATTAGGTAGGGATGACAATTGAATCAAATCTTAGTCTTCATCTTCTAACTTAACATCTATGTTTAGTAGTTTAGAGAAAATTCTACTAAACTCGTTAATATGCTCATTTCTAGATTACTCTCCTTCATACGAAACGTGTATAGATTTTTTCTAGGTACAATCGATTGGTAAGAGACCTCGTCATATTGCGACTTTTCCAACCTCGATCAGATCAATACGGTCAATTTCTCTTGCATACTTTTGTACGTAATATTGTTTGTCAGACACAGTCGAATGGTGTTGCATTCTTGGAGATCAAAATCTTTCCATTCATTGGCCTCCATATCTTTAGGTTTACCTTTCAATGGTTATGTGTAGTCCTTATTAGATCAAGACCTCTCCACCTAAACTTTGCTTTAAATATCTTTGAATGTTTTGTAGTCATGACTTCTAAACTTTATATGGTGAGATCCAAAAATTGGTGCAAATGAATACTATTTTGTGAATAGTATTGATGAATACTACCCATAAATAGTACTAATGATAGCACTCATAATCGGTATTAGCTCTGATACTAATTTGTTGTAAAAATTATCTGAAATTTGAATTGAGATTGAAATTGACACACTCAAGTGTAAACAAATTAAAAGAGTAATCACACATGACACAAGCAATTTACATGGTTTAGCTACCTATATTATAGCGTACGTCCACAACTAGAACGATTAAAATTTTTTCACTATGGAGTAAAATAGGAGTACAAGAACAACTATTCCAAACTTCACATATACTCACTCCAATAAATATTGATGATGCACAAATTGGTTTTATGCACCACCGATCAAGTGATCAGTAATTAATGTTGTAATTAAATAAAGTGAGAGAGAGTGCGAGACAAAGATGTAGAGTGGTTCGGTCAGTGTGACCTACATCCACTATGAAGGGCTAGGTTAGCCTGGGTATTTTATTACTTTGAGGAGTGTAGGGAAAGTAGGAAGATACGAGTAATGAGATAGAGATGAGGGTGATAGCAGATGTGCTCGATACCCCCCAAGTATTGGCGGGGCTTACAATTTACAGTGGCTCTCAACAGACTAAGACATCTTTTTAGTAACTACGTAACAAATCTGGTGGAGCTGTCACTATCTTCTCAACGGATGAGGCAGTTACAGAGCTCCCCTTAAGATCAGGTCAAAGGATGACGTGGTGGTTGACTTCTTCCATGGAAGCATAGATGAGGCCCTTGGATGACCTTTCTTACTCCCTTGGTGATGTAGCTCCTCGAAACTTGATGGGCTTGACTGGGTATGGACCTACCTCGGGCTAGACCTGTTAGATCCCTTCAAGTTGGGCTCTTTATCCAAACTAGGCTTAGAACATGAGTTGGGTCCTTGGGCCTGGCCTATCATTTGCCCTCCAATGTCCTATGTCTAATGAAACTTAGAGAATAAGGCATTCAGTTGGGCCTGGATTTCGGCTGAACCCAAAATTGTAAAAACTTTAGAAGGCCCACATAAAGGGCTTGTCGTAAGCTTTGATTTGATATATTATGGGCCTCATAACTCCAAATGGATCAAAAGTTATGGTCAAAACAGTATCAACCCTTCTTGGATTTGTATTTCTTGGAGACTCCTTTTGACTGACGATTCTTTTCCTTCCTTATATATAAACTCTTTTTGCCTATAGGATATCTCTAGTTATATAAACTCCCCCACTTTTTTCTCCTTATAGGATTTAGCCAAACCCTATGCTATAAATTGGGGGTTTCTTTTCGAGATATTCAAGAACTCAAGCAAGATGACTGAGGCTCGTGACTTTGTCCCTGAGATGAGTGCTCAAATGTTGAATAAATGAGAAGGGACGCGTGGTGGAGTGACCGGTGTCGATGCAAGAGTTCAAGTGTCCTCCGTTAAGGCAGAAGGGCTGGTCGGCGCCGAAGAGGAGGGTATCTATGGCAGGGTGACCCAAGATGGTGAGGCAGCCCAGCTAGGCGCCAAAAGCCAGGCAACCCAAATGAACGTTACTGGCATGGCGACCCAGCTAGGTGAAAAGGTGCCATGGACGCCAGGTGGCCCTGCTTGTCNGAGCTAGGTTAGCCTGGGTATTTTATTACTTTGAGGAGTGTAGGGAAAGTAGGAAGATACAAGTAATGAGATAGAGATGAGGGTGATAGCAGATGTGCTCGATACCCCCCAAGTATTNAGCTAGGTGAAAAGGTGCCATGGACGCCAGGTGGCCCTGCTTGTCACGGTGGAGGAGTGTTGGGTGATGGGCACAGGCGACGGAGCTCGCAAGCGGCAGCGTTGGGGCTAAAGCATGAATAGTCATGCATGGTGGGTGTTGTGCACGGAGCCTCGAAGCTTGGGCACAGAACTATGGTGGGTGATTCGCCAGGAAATGCCAGTGGTTTTGGCGGTAAAGACCCCAAGCAAATGGTGGATGGCATAGCTAGTTCAGGAGAAACTTCACCTAGTCATGTTCCTCAAGGTTCTCCTAGTAGTGGCCCAGCCAATGAATCTGTTCATCCTCGCACCAATAAACACCGAGGATATGTGTCTCTTGATGACAATGGCTCCAAATTAAGTACCATTTCTAGTACTTTCAATACTGATGCTGACATTCTCCGGCTTGTTTCTACTTATAACATTCTTCCAATGGTGTTATGTCACCGAGTTGAAATAGGTGAGTTTGCTTATGAAGACTCCTATGGTGATATTGTTTTTTATGAGAAGGTGCTTGAAGCTGAGTTGAGGTTTCCCATGCCTTCCTCCGTTTGTCGCATTCTTCTTTGCTTTTCATTTTCACCAGTGTGTTTGACGTCTAATGGTTAGAGAGTTCTGCTGGGATTCCTTGCACTATGGAGGAAGGTGCATCATGAGGATGCTTCTCCTGAAGATTTTTGTACGGCCTATACTTTCGTATCAATAATCTCTCCTACAGTCTTAATATAAAATCGCATAATAGCAGATGGTCTTCCAACCATGTAATCTATCACAAAAATTCGACGAACATAGTGACAGAACCAAGACTCTAGTCTAAAGGGAGGCCAAATAATAGCATATTTAAGAATTTTATTAACTAGAGCAATAGTTAAACAAAATATATCATAAAAAAATTTCATACAAATAACAAGTAAAAACTAGTTCTAGTCATAAAATTCAAAGATCGATTCTTAATATCTTAAAACTTAGTTTGTGACATTGTCATGATCCTTTTATTTTCATATTATGATATCATGTAAGTACTTTGAATAAATTATCCTCACAAATAATAGTTTAGTTTCACATGATAAGATAGTAGAAGTCATGAGTCAACACATTACTTTTGATATCAGCCACGTTTGTAATCTAATTTTACAAAAAAAAAAANTGATATTGTTTTTTATGAGAAGGTGCTTGAAGCTGAGTTGAGGTTTCCCATGCCTTCCTCCGTTTGTCGCATTCTTCTTTGCTTTTCATTTTCACCAGTGTGTTTGACGTCTAATGGTTAGAGAGTTCTGCTGGGATTCCTTGCACTATGGAGGAAGGTGCATCATGAGGATGCTTCTCCTGAAGATTTTTGTACGGCCTATACTTTCGTATCAATAATCTCTCCTACAGTCTTAATATAAAATCGCATAATAGCAGATGGTCTTCCAACCATGTAATCTATCACAAAAATTCGACGAACATAGTGACAGAACCAAGACTCTAGTCTAAAGGGAGGCCAAATAATAGCATATTTAAGAATTTTATTAACTAGAGCAATAGTTAAACAAAATATATCATAAAAAAATTTCATACAAATAACAAGTAAAAACTAGTTCTAGTCATAAAATTCAAATATCGATTCTTAATATCTTAAAACTTAGTTTGTGACATTGTCATGATCCTTTTATTTTCATATTATGATATCATGTAAGTACTTTGAATAAATTATCCTCACAAATAATAGTTTAGTTTCACATGATAAGATAGTAGAAGTCATGAGTCAACACATTACTTTTGATATCAGCCACGTTTGTAATCTAATTTTACAAAAAAAAAAATTACATTTAAAAAAAGTTCATTTGGTCATTAAACTTGTCCAACCAAATATCATATGTTGTAAAATCATTACTCGTCCATGGGTTACATCCCTCATTTCACTATTAAGTATCAATTTAGTAGTCCTTTAAGTGACTTGTCAATAGGAAAAATATAAGAATTTTTAAAAACTTATGGGTGTTATAAAAAATTTTCAAAAATGTGAAAAGGTGATAGCCCCCTAGGCCCCTCTTTAGTTCCATCCCTGGATACACTCTATATTAAACTAAATGACCCATGTATGTAGGACTACTTCCAAAACATCACATCAAAATAGGCATATATGACAATTTTTGTTAGTTTTGCACAGCTGATAATCAACACAAATTCTATAAATTGAAAATTTGGAATTCAAGATAGAGAAAATAATGAAGCAAAACACCAGAAAGAAAATTGCAAGTGAAGGCAATGAAACAAAACTCCCTTTTCTCTCTCTCTCTCTCTCTCTCTCTCTCTCTCTCTCTCTCTCTCTCTATTTCAAAAAGTTTTTGAGAAAACAAAACAATACACTCTGGTTCAAAAATTGTTTGAGAAAACAAAACAGTACACTCTGGTTCAAAAAGTATTTGAGAAAACAAAACAGTACACATCCATTGTGTGCATGCAGCAGGTTGTCTCTTCCATTAGATTTGAGTAATGGGTGCCCCTCAAATTTTTTTTTTTTTTTTTGTGTTTTTGGTATAGGCAATAGTNTCTTCTCTTTCTCTTTCTCTCTCTCTCTCTCTCTCTATATTTCAAAAAGTTTTTGAGAAAACAAAACAATACACTCTGGTTCAAAAATTCTTTGAGAAAACAAAACAGTACACTCTGGTTCAAAAAGTATTTGAGAAAACAAAATAGTACACATCCATTGTGTGCATGCAGCAGGTTGTCTCTTCCATTAGATTTGAGTAGTGGGTGCCCCTCAATTTTTTTTTTTTTTGTGTTTTTGGTATAGGCAATAGTTGCAAATGAAGGAAATGGATCTGGTTTTGGTTGCAGGTGAAGGAAATGGGAGAGTTATGTTGGAATTTTTCCTATATTGGACTTCCATTAATTGATAGTTAATTTTTAGTTTGTGAAAAACGGGCTGAATTTATGGTCCAATGAGATGAGCTCAATATTATTAAGTGATCTATTTTGATGGACTTATGCACATCTTTTAATTGCTATGGTTGAAGCAGTTAAGTGTAGGGGTTAATCTAATTGTAGTCCATAATGGGAGAGAGCCCATTAGATTTTATTATAAATAGCAGGTTAGGTCACCTCTCCACTTCATAACCCTAATTTGGCCTGTCCCATTGAGAGTCGTCTATTGCTTTGAAGAAGGAGAGGAAGACATTGCCCTTTCACAAAATAAATTCGGAAATCGAATATCATGGCTCATACATATATGTTCTAAATCTTGTATGTGATCTAAATCTTGAATTTAAGAGTTCCAAATTTCATATACGAATCATTAAAATTTCTTACATTGTGGTATCAGTGCCATCGTATATGGATTTAGAACCAAAAAAAATTATTTTTTATGTATATTTTTATTCATCATATTTGGGAATTTCAAAATTTTTTTTTAAAATAAATTTGATATAAGTTTTGAACAACCCATAATATGATTGAAACATCAAAACCCCATCATATTGAATTACACAAAAACCTACGTGGGTTTGACCCTTTAATTGCCCAAAACATAAGATCTTGATCTTCTTGATAGCAGGCATTCAAACATAGCTCATAAGATATTGATCTTCTCTGTTCAATTCCCACTAGTGTTGATCATACAATTGGCAGCATACCCGTGAGAACTTTTATTGCTTCTTGTATTGTTGGGACTTTTATGGTAGTACACATGTGATAAATTTATTTTATTTGATTATGTCATATTCATTCAACTTATTAAATTTATTTTTTAATTTTTTATGGGTCTTGTTAACGAATGGATACATGTTTTATCCATACAAATTATTAATATCAATCAATTTTTTTTTTATATTGATGCAATTTTGATTGAATTGCTATAATTGTAAAAGGTGTTTATACCATTCTAATTTTAGTCCTACGATCAATTTTTATTTTTTTTATCTACATATTATCTATTAAATGTTTGTAGATGAAAATTTAAATTACTTAATTTTAATAGTAAAAATAGAATTGAAACCTGAATGTAACGATCGATGATATGTGATCTAAAGATGTACATATTGGTTAGTATATCATATTAATTGATCACATAATATTTAATTATGGACAATTTGTTATAATATCTCGGTTTGAGAAATTCTATGAGTTATGATGGATGATTGCCACCAAAGTGGTCAATTCAAAAAAAATTGTAGATTTTTCTCATGCTTTTGTTACCAGATGGTCTCTAAATTACCTGCCCAAATGGGGTTGTTATATATTGTAATTTAGAGATGTCATAAAACATTGTGGTAGAGGTGCAATAGTCTAGAAGGTTTATCTACCCAAAGGGGATAAATTTTTTGAAACTTGAGCATTCTCATTTGTTAGTTTCATGAAAGAGAGGATCTATAACATATTGAATTATCTGCCCAAATAAGAGTTTGTAGTGATGTATTTGGACTCTATTAATAAAATATGACTTATTGTGTTTCAAGCATATTTTATTTATTTATCGCCCAATTTTGTTTTAGTTATTTACATTCTCATTGCTTTGAACAGTCTCTTTTGCTGTGAATAGTAATAATGCCAACATTAAAGTCTTGACTGGTTCTAATCATAAGATATGGAAGTAAGATATTGAGTTTGCCCTGAGAATTGTTTATATAAACTTTGCCTTGAAAAAGAATGAACCTACTAAACCTACTAGTGAGAGCTCCCCTAAAAAAAAAGAACTTTATACAAAGTGGGAGAAATCTAATAGGCTGAATATGATTGCCATGAAAATGTCTATTTCTGAAAACCTTATAAGTGGCTTTCCTGAAACCAAGAATATCAAGGAGTTCTTCATCGCTGTAGGAGAGAGATACAATACATCAAATAAGACTGAAAGTGGGGGCCTAATGAATAAATTAATGAGTATAAAATATGATAATGTAAGTGGTGTTAAGAAATATATCCTTAGAATGGTCCATGTTCAAACTAAACTCAAAACCTTCAAAATTGTTATTCCTGATGATTTCATTGTTCATCACACTCTTAACTCTTTGACTCCTGAGTTTAGCCAAATCAAAACTACCTACAATAATCAAAATGAGTCCTGGACAATAAATGACCTTATCTCCAAGTATGATTTTGAAGAAGAAAAACTTAANCCAAATCAAAACTACCTACAATAATCAAAATGAGTCCTGGACAATAAATGACCTTATCTCCAAGTGTGATTTTGAAGAAGAAAAACTTAAAAAAGAAAGGAGTGAACTGTCTTATTTTTTTTTCAACCAAAATCTAGTTTCAAAGGTGGATATAAGGAAAATAATAGAAAACCTAAAAATAATGCTCTAAAGAATGGTCAGAATTTCAAAAGGTATGGTACTGGTCAAAATGTGGGAGGTTCTAAGGTTATCACTCGAAAAGATGTCAAATGTTACTTTTGCAAGAAACGATATCATAAGAAAAGTGAGTGCACTCGATTCAAGTCTTGATTAGAGAAGAAGAATAAANGATGTCAAATGTTACTTTTGCAAGAAACGATGTCATAAGAAAAGTGAGTGCACTCGATTCAAGTCTTGATTAGAGAAGAAGAATAAAGTAGAAGGTAATTCACTAGTCTTTGTTTGCTTTGAATCCAATTTAGTTAATATTCTATTAAATTCTTGGTGGATTGACAGTGGGGCTTCTATTCATGTTGCCATAATGTTGTAGGGATTCACAAGCAAACAGAGGCCAAGTGAAGGGAAAGTCAAGTTTAAAGTAGAAGATAATAATGAAGTCCATGTTGAGTTTATAGGAATTGTTAGGGTGAATTTAGACATTAATTTTCAACTTGTTTTAGAAAATATTTTTTATGTACCATCATTTAGGCGGAATTTGATTTCAGTTTCCTTGCTTGATAAAGTTGAATGTGGTTTTAATTTTAGTAATAGTAAAACTCAATTGTTTTTAAATTCTAAAATTGTTGGTCATTGTGTTTATCAAATGGTCTATATAGGATATACTTGGCTGTCAATAATGAATATGGTCTTTCAGATATTGTGAATATTGTATCTAAGAGACCTCTCATTAAAGAAAAATATTCACAAATGTGGCATAAATGTTTGGATCACATTTCTAAAGAAAGAGTGGAAAGATTAATAAAGAACGATATTCTTCCTCCCCTTGACTTTGGAGACCTTGAAACTTATGTTGACTGCATTAGGGGTAAATTGACCAAGACTAAAAAGAAAAGTGCAACTCGTAATCTAGATCTTTCAGAAATCATTCACATTGATATTAGTGGACCTTACTCACGTACCTTGTGTGGTAATAAATATTTTATTACATTTACTGATGATTTTTGTCGTTATGGATATATTTATTTAATTAATAAAAANTCACGTACCTTGTGTGGTAATAAATATTTTATTACATTTACTGATGATTTTTGTCGTTATGGATATATTTATTTAATTAATAAAAAATCTTATGCTCTTGAAAAGTTTAAAATTTCAAGATTGAGGTAGAGAAACAATTAGGGAAAGTCATCAAAATTGTTAGGTCTGACTGTGGTAGTGAGTATTATGGCAAACATGATGTGTCTGAGCAGAATTTGAGACCGTTTGCCAAGTACTTGCAAGATTGTGGGATTATTGCCCATTATAACATGCCTGGAAATCCCGAGCAGAATGGTGTGGCTGAAAGACGCAATCGTACTCTTTAAATACATTATGCGGAGCATGATGAGTAGGTGTAATATTTAGGGCGAAGTCATTAAAACGGTTTCATATATTCTTAACAGAGTTTCTAGCAAATCTATTCCAAAAATACCTTTTGAATTATGGACCAATAGAAAACCAAGTCTTAACCATTTTCGAGTCTGGAATTGTCCTACTGAAGTCAAAATCTATAACCCTTTTGAGAAAAAGACTGATCTTTTAAACAAGAGACTGAGACCAATAACTTTTAAGAAACATGTTAACAACATGAGCATTTTGGGGTCTTTTAATGTACTTGGTTAGTTGGAGTTTATTTATGTGTTAAGAACTTTAGTATTGATTTAATTTCATATGTGATATTTGATACTCATTATGGTTGAGAAACATCTGTTTGATGAATAATAAATATTTGAATGATTATCCTTATTGTTAGCACGATATTCTTACTATGTAATATATGTTCACATTTATGACATGTCAATTTATACAAAATCTTAAGACTTAGTGTATGTCCTAAGTATGACTGTTTTATCAATTGAGTATGTCTCTGATTACACCATTTAAGAAAATCTTGTGATATTAAGTTTGGAGACATACTATCTTATTGTTGAAACTAATGAATTTTTCTAGCTTATTGTTGAAGCATGTTGTTAAAGAGAAATCATTTGAAAAACTGACAATGAAAATAACATGTTTATCAAATCACATATTAAGATGTTATTTTCTTACTACACTTCCACATCTTGATCCATGTCAATAAAATTATTATTTTTTGTAATCATGGATTGGTCCTATATCAATAAAAGATGTAAAGGCCGACATGGTTCGAAAATAGTAGTTTTATTGGACTGAGTTGTGTTTGAAATGTTGTCTCAGGACTATATTATTTTTTATTATGACCACATTGAGTTTTGTTTGATTAGTCCGAGAGTCATTTTTTAAATATATATATATAATTTTATTTTATTTTTAAATAATTACAATTAATGTTGTCCAAGTGGGAGAATATTAGAATTTTTCCTATATTGGACTTCTATTAATTGATAGTTAATTTTTAGTTTGTGAAAAACGGGCTAAATTTATGGTCTAATGAAATGAGCTCAATATTATTAAGTGATCTATTTTAATAGGCTTATGTACATCTTTTAATTGATGTGGTAGATGTGGTTAAGTGTAGAGCTTAATTTAATTGTAGACCGTAATGAGAGAACCCATTAGATTTCATTATAAATAGCAGGTTGGGTCCCCTCTCCACTTTATTACCCTAATTTGGCTTGTCGCATTGGGAGCTGTCTATTGCTTTGAAGAAGGAAATGAGACCTTACCCTTTCACGAAAGAAATTTGGAAATCGAATATCATGGCTCATACAACTATGTTATAAATCTTATATTNAGCTGTCTATTGCTTTGAAGAAGGAAAGGAGACCTTACCCTTTCACGAAAGAAATTTGGAAATCGAATATCATGGCTCATACAACTATGTTATAAATCTTGTATATGATCTAAATCTTAAATTTAGGAGTTCTAAATTTCATATACGAATCATTAAAATTTCTTATAAGTTAGACAAAAATGTCCCTCTGAATTTGACTAATCGTTAGGTATTTGTGATGAATGTGATGAATATGGACGCAAGTCTCGTAGAAACACAATTAATACTTTAAGGACTAAATTGTCCAAATCAAAAATCTAGGGACCAAATAAGAACCTCATCAATACTCTAAGGGTGTAATTTGTAATTCACCCTTTTGAAAATCCATTGTTCACGTAAACGACATCATTTGGACACTTGAAGCTCTTACTCCTTTTACCTGCCCTTCTTTGTCTGTCCATCTGGTTCCCTCTGTTCTCTCTCAATTTTACAATTATGGGTTCTCTTAAATTCCAATTAGCTCAAATGGGTTTCAATCAAACTCGCCAAGTTCGCAAACCCCAACTCAGTGCATTGAAGATCACCTGTGGATTGAGAAACGGACCCAGGGGACCGTTGTGGAGGTCAAGGATACTGTCCACAGAAGCCATACAAACAGTTCAGTCTCTGAAGTTAGCAAAATCCCCAGCTAAATTAGAGGAAGTTTTCAATACCAGACTCAGTAGACTATTGAAGGCTGACTTGTTGGATACATTCAATGAATTACGAAGGCAAAATGAATTGGACTTGGCCCTCAAGGTATTATTATTGGTTTCTGCTATTTGCAATAGTAATTTGCTTTCCTTGCCGGTTTTCTAATTCTAGTTTAATAGATTATATGTTGTATTGGGTCATAAACTTGATACTGTCAATGCTAAGTTAACAGTCGGAATCTCTCTTCAGCAGTTGCAGTACGATTATTTAATTCATATCATGCTCTTGTTAGTCGTAATCGCTATAAACTCTATATCACTGGCAATTGGCGTTGGCATGATCTTCTTTATCCTGTCCGAAAGGGTCCGGTCAAAAGCAAGAAAAGGAGTGTCTTTGCGTGCCCCTTGCCCTAATTCTAAATAAAGCACTTTCCTACGAGCATCTCTAAGAGGCTATCTAAACCCTCCCCTTTAGCTATTTTACATAGCTTTTCCTAAAATATTGTTCCAAGAGACTAGCTAAAAGGCTATCTAAAATAGATAACCCCATTTTCACTCCACAGATGTAGCTAGCCAGTACATCGCTAGCTGGCGCCAATCTCTCCCTCCTCGCCTCCTCCTCCTCTTGAATGTATGCACTTGTCTCATCTTATAGGCGTTGTAAATATGACCGTTGAAAAACTCAAATTTTAAAATTTTGAATTTCGTGACCTTTATAAATATGATCGTTATTAATAAAAATTAAAATTTTAAAATTTTGATAACGTGGCGTAACACGTCAGCATGCGATGTCATCAATATGATGATGACATGACATACTAAATAGTATTTTAGATTTTATTATTGAAAATTAGTTGAAATGATTAGCTAAAATAGATAGTGTTGTTGGAGTGAGTTTGAAAAAGTGATTAGTTAAAGTAGATAATATAATATTTAAATAAATTTTGAGTAGTTATTTTAAATAGCCCTCTTGGAGATGCTCTAAGGTTGGGTCTGGGGATTAGTTTACAACGAAAGCTTTTGTCGTAACTCTATCAAGGCACAATCTCACTTTACGTAGTAGGGCTCAGGAACGATGGTAGCAAATGGTTGCTGAATAGAGTGCACCTCGCAGCCCAAGCATTATGATCTGTAGCTCAAATGGTCAACTTATGAAGTCTCTATTAGTCTTATTCTTATTGTGCGCCTTGTGAGCGCGTTTGGATTTGCAGAGGCAATGGCTCGAATGTTCCCCTAACCCAACCCAGGAACAGATCTTTGTCTTTGGTGTTCCCCTCCTGGGGTTAGTGGGCTGGCACAAACACCGGACAGAAATCGCACATTTATGTATTCTTGTCATCAGCCACTTGCTCGACCATTCATTTACTAAGCTATTTTTAGAAATTGGAAGAGTTTCTTGATATATGAGCATGGAAGTTCAATGATCAAAAGATGCCTCCTCGAGCTAAAAGCTCGTTTATTCTATTCATTCACTATATTCGAATGAAATTCAAAGCCTACTCTTGCATCTTCCATTCTTGCATTTGTTGCTTCCTTATCTTTCTAGTTGCTCCGTTCCAGAGCAGTCCTTACTCTCATGTAGTATAGGTAGGGTTGTTAATCAAACTGAGCTATTTGAGCTTGGCTTGAGTTCGGCTCGGTCAGGCTCGGTTCATTTTCTAAACGAGCCCAAACTTGAACAAGTTTTTAAGCTCGTTTAGAAAATAAGTCCTACAAGTCGGCTCAAACTCGACAAGCTCGGCTCGTTTATGGGTTCGACTCGGGTTCAGCTTGTTCAAGCTCGGCTCGTTTCTTAAACAAGCCGAACTTGAACAATTTTTAAAACTCGATTAAGAAACAAGTTTTTCAAGCTCGGCTCGAACTTGACTCGATTTCGTTCGACTAACAGCCCTAAGTATAGGGAATGAGGACAAGTCGATAAAGCCATTGGCTAACCCTCCGTTACTTTGAAAGTAGGACAAAGCCACATATTGGTCACGAACGGAACTTGAATTTTATAATACGAGGGGCCGAGTAATGGCATTCAATGAGGTTATTCAGTAAGTTTTTGTGAATGTCAAATTTTTAGTTGTATAAAATCTATTAAAATTAATTTTGACATGATACATTAGATTATCATTTATTTACAACTAAATTCAGAAAAATTGGTCAATTTTGTCCAACTACGTGTAAAAAAACCAAATAAATCAATAACATAACTAAGAATTCATAGTAGAACCAATTAAGTAGAGCTAAATGGAAACTCACAAATTCATCAAATAATCCAACAATTATATATTAAACTAGAATAATCCAACAAATTCATCAGATAATCCTNCTTGAACAAGTTTTTAAGCTCGTTTAGAAAATAAGTCCTACAAGTCGGCTCAAACTCGACAAGCTCGGCTCGTTTATGGGTTCGACTCGGGTTCAGCTTGTTCAAGCTCGGCTCGTTTCTTAAACAAGCCGAACTTGAACAATTTTTAAAGCTCGATTAAGAAACAAGTTTTTCAAGCTCGGCTCGAACTCGACTCGATTTCGTTCGACTAACAGCCCTAAGTATAGGGAATGAGGACAAGTCGATAAAGCCATTGGCTAACCCTCCGTTACTTTGAAAGTAGGACAAAGCCACATATTGGTCACGAACGGAACTTGAATTTTATAATACGAGGGGCCGAGTAATGGCATTCAATGAGGTTATTCAGTAAGTTTTTGTGAATGTCAAATTTTTAGTTGTATAAAATCTATTAAAATTAATTTTGACATGATACATTAGATTATCATTTATTTACAACTAAATTCAGAAAAATTGGTCAATTTTGTCCAACTACGTGTAAAAAAACCAAATAAATCAATAACATAACTAAGAATTCATAGTAGAACCAATTAAGTACAGCTAAATGGGAACTCACAAATTCATCAAATAATCCAACAATTATATATTAAACTAGAAAAATCCAACAAATTCATCAGATAATCCAACCAAGTAAAAATATATTTACTTGATAGGAGACGCCGACAGAGCATGGTGACATACACATTACACTGTCTATTGTTTCCACGACTTGAACCCGTGACTACTTAGCCTTCTTGAAACTTTCACTCACTTACAATGTCTCCACCACTAGACAGAATCCTTGTATTTTTAGGGGACCAAAAGAGAATTTCTACAAGTATTCTAACCATACGAGGGTTTGTTTTGAAAATATGAGGGCAGCCAATGGCCCCCCTAGGCCACTTTGTAGTTCCGTCAATGTATATGTTACTGTTTTAATGCTATATACTTTTCATCTTTCTTTAGGTTATATTTGGGTTTCAGATGAAAAGAAAGTTGACTAATTATATCTTTTTTAAAGGTCATTGCTATTTCCAGNATAAAATCTATTAAAATTAATTTTGACATGATACATTAGATTATCATTTATTTACAACTAAATTCAGAAAAATTGGTCAATTTTGTCCAACTACGTGTAAAAAAACCAAATAAATCAATAACATAACTAAGAATTCATAGTAGAACCAATTAAGTACAGCTAAATGGGAACTCACAAATTCATCAAATAATCCAACAATTATATATTAAACTAGAAAAATCCAACAAATTCATCAGATAATCCTACCAAGTAAAAATATATTTACTTGATAGGAGACGCCGACAGAGCATGGTGACATACACATTACACTGTCTATTGTTTCCACGACTTGAACCCGTGACTACTTAGCCTTCTTGAAACTTTCACTCACTTACAATGTCTCCACCACTAGACAGAATCCTTGTATTTTTAGGGGACCAAAAGAGAATTTCTACAAGTATTCTAACCATACGAGGGTTTGTTTTGAAAATATGAGGGCAGCCAATGGCCCCCCTAGGCCACTTTGTAGTTCCGTCAATGTATATGTTACTGTTTTAATGCTATACACTTTTCATCTTACTTTAGGTTATATTTGGGTTTCAGATGAAAAGAAAGTTGACTAATTACATCTTTTTTAAAGGTCATTGCTATTTCCAGTAGTAAAAGTTCTGGCTGATAATTAGGTGTGTGATCCGAGTTTTGAAAACATGGGTAGCCATTTGATGTTGAAGTTAATGTTTCTCTTCAGTGCACCGCTTCTAGAACCTCTCATTGGTAGAACAAACATTGAGTAATGGCCTTTACAAAATGAGAATTTATAAAAAATAAGAACTTTTACAAACTTCTTTTGATAATTTTCTAAGTAGGGAGTTCCTTCATACCTCGTTTTTGCTTTTGTGTGTGATATATTCAAAATCATTAATACCTTATTTGAGGAATATGTTTGAGTTGATTCCTTACTTCTTAGTAGGTTGAATAGGTTCTGAGAAAGGGGAGAAGAAAAAATTATGTGGCTGAGAAACTTAATGTGGTCAGGCTTTAAATCGTCAACCACATTGCTGTTAAACCTGGCCACCAACTTCCATGAGTGCCACTATTTGAGGAATTTTCCAATTGGACGTTGTACGTCAAACAATTTTCATGTTTGGAATTTCAATAGCTGCAACATTGATATACTCTTAGCTTGTGGTCGAAGTTTAGTTCAGTGATCTACTACAAGCAGTTAGTTTATTCGAATTTCAAAATTAGAGTTGGAATTGTGAAACCCTTTGCTTCATTGGTGGCTTTATCGGTGTGTTTCCAATTCTTCTATTGGCATCTTATACATTACTTAAATTTTGTATATGTGATTTCAAGCGTGCATTTTATCTGAAATATAATCATGTCTCAGGTGTTTGGATTTTTGAGAAAGGAAGTGTGGTATGAACCAAATCTATCCTTGTTCAGTGACATGATATTGATGTTTGGAAAGAACAAACAGATTAGAATGGTTGAAGGGATTTTTTCTGAACTAATTAAAGAAGGCCTGAAACCGGACACCAGAGTTTACACTGAGCTGATCGGAGCATATTTCAAAGTGGAGATGATAGAGAAGGCAATGGAGACATATGAACTAATGAAAGCATCAGGTTGTGTCCCAGATAGGTTAACCTTCGCCATTTTGTTAAGAAGCCTTGAAAAGGGGGGAAAAGAAGAGCTTGCAGCCACAGTAAAGGAAGACTGCACAGAATACTTGGACTACCCTAAGAAATTTCTTCTAGAAGTGGCAAGGACATATGTAAGGAATCTTATTACATATGCTAAAACTTCTAATTTCTTTAATTAATATATCTTAATATCTCCTAGATATTATTCTGATCTTGCAGAATGAGCTGTATTTATGCATTCTCAATTGAAATCAAATTAAAACACTTAGAATTCTGTGCTAGTGCATTGTATATGACACAGATGCAAGAGAATCCAAACTCTTTCAATTTCCTAAGCACTTTTTGAAGTTTTTGCCAAAATGTTTTGAAGAATACAAGCTATGCATGAGGCCAAATAGTCTGGACAAAGACTTTGTTAAGTTGACTGGAACATAATATATTTGTGAGGGTAAATTTAGAAAAGAGCAAGGTCTGTTACGGTCATTCGCCCAGTAAATCTCACATTAGATGTTAATGGAATCTTAAAATACACTAGGAAGGTCCCTATATTTAGGCATTACTACAGTACAGGCTGTGCCACTGTATTTTACTCCTAATAATATAGATTTTTGGTCTACGGAAATTTCTTATCTGGATTCTTGTTTTGCTTACAGCCAAACCGGAGGTCACTAAACCTTGTTTGAACGCATGTTCATCTCAAAGTTCGAATTGAGTTTGTAACAGGCAATGGGCAAGCTGATGACACTGGTGATGAATCAAGGTTTGCAGCAAAGCCAGAGAAATGAGGTAGAAGTTATGTTTTGACCAAATTGTGGGTAAATTTAAGATACTACATTTATACGAATACTTACCACTTTTCTTCTCTTATAGGCAACTAATTGCATGAAGACAAATATCTTCTATAGATTTTTTCTTTAGGCATGTATCATGAATTGTAATCCTTATCACATCACTGCAAATGTGAACCCAAACAGATTCATTCATTGGCAATTTAAATCTGCTATAACTCAAGCCTCTGCGACTATGTTCGTACATAAATACATTTGTTTGGATGAAAGTGAGTATCGTCTAATCTGATTGTAATTAAGCCTTTCTTAGTGGCACCCATTAAGTTTGATGCCCCACACCCAGGAATGTTGCTATGGTCCTGGGGTGAAGGTTGTGGCCATATTTTTAGCAGCAGATCTTCAGATGCCTGAATGCAATCTGGATCGCTCAACCACCAAAACACCCCCCCCCCCAACCCCCCGGGCGAGCTGCCTGGGGTGGTAGGGGTCGGTTGGGGGTGAATTGTAATCTTGGTTCAATTCAGTGGTACGCATATTTCATTGCAGAAAATTACGATAAAGAAATAGAAATCTTGATTTTCTTCTCGTGTCATGTTGGAATGACAAGCTCAACATTTCACATGATCAGATGAGTTGTGTTCAGATATTCAGGAGGCGTTTATATGTCACATTATCGTAGTATTGTGGGCCAGCCTATGGTATTGAGAAGCAATTTTTCGGTATGTCCACGCAGTTGCTAAGTTCTATTTTATATTGTTTCATTTTAATCTATTATTATCAAGATCAATGGTTACAAATAACTCAAACCAAAGTTAACGGCCGAAAATTATTTTTCGGTATACATTCAGTACCACAACCTTATAATAGAAACGGAAGGCTGTGAATTCTGTTTTTCTTTTTTGAACCAGAATTCTGTTGTTAATAAACTTATTTTCCAATAGATAATTCTAAAAATCATTTTTCAAGAAGCTACCCTGGTCTTGGCGCGGATATATTGTCTTTGACCGAGCTGACGAGAAGATTAGTCGAGGNTGTTGTTAATAAACTTATTTTCCAATAGATAATTCTAAAAATCATTTTTCAAGAAGCTACCCTGGTCTTGGCGCGGATATATTGTCTTTGATCGAGACGAGAAGATTAGTCGAGANATTCAGTACCACAACCTTATAATAGAAACGGAAGGCTGTGAATTCTGTTTTTCTTTTTTGAACCAGAATTCTGTTGTTAATAAACTTATTTTCCAATAGATAATTCTAAAAATCATTTTTCAAGAAGCTACCCTGGTCTTGGCGCGGATATATTGTCTTTGACCGAGCTGACGAGAAGATTAGTCGAGGTATGCGTAAATTGACCCAGACTAATGTGACTTTTTAGTATTGAGGAGTTTGTTGATTGAACTGTCTTTCATTAAGGGCCGTGTAGAGAAAATGATATTTTTGAGCGGAAAAAAAATTGAGATGAATTTTATTATATTAGATTAAAGTAAATAAAAATTAGATCAATCTTGACCGTTGATAATTTAATTTCTTAATTGCAATATTAGATGATGGCAATAACTTTGTGTTTGAAGACACTCTATAATATTAAAAATTGAACATTAATTGTGCGATATTTATATTTTTAAAAATATTTATATTTTTTAATTATTCAATTTAAAATTATAGTATGCATATCAAAAATAAGAGAGAGATATGAGAGAAAAGACGTAATTATGAATTAATGGGATTGGATGTGTAAGTTGAGTTGTCAAACATTGAGAGTTGTGCAANTGAATTTTATTATATTAGATTAAAGTAAATAAAAATTAGATCAATCTTGACCGTTGACAATTTAATTTCTTAATTGCAATATTAGATGATGGCAATAACTTTGTGTTTGAAGACACTCTATAATATTAAAAATTGAACATAAATTGTGCGATATTTATATTTTAAATAATATTTATATTTTTTAATTATTCAATTTAAAATTATAGTATGCATATCAAAAATAAGAGAGAGATATGAGAGAAAAGAGGTAATTATGAATTAATGGGATTGGATGTGTAAGTTGAGTTGTCTAACATTGAGAGTTGTGCAGATAAAATAATGTTTTAGAAAAATTATTTTGGATGAATTTTATGTCATTTGACTAAAATAGACGAAATTATATCAATATTAACCATTGTCGTGTTTTATACCTTGTGTGATTCAAATTGCTAACTATCATATTTTATCGATTTTTTAGATTGGACTTTAGTTTAACCCTTAAAGGTAGTTCAGTGGTTGAATTTGTCTTTTGATAACATAAAAGTATCAAGTTTAACACTTTTTATACCCCTTTAAGAAANTATTTTGGATGAATTTTATGTCATTTGACTAAAATAGACGAAATTATATCAATATTAACCATTGTCGTGTTTTATACCTTGTGTGATTTAAATTGCTAACTATCATATTTTATTGATTTTTTAGATTGGATTTTAGTTTAACCCTTTAAGGTAGTTCAGTGGTTGAATTTGTCTTTTGATAACATAAAAGTATCAAGTTTAACACTTTTTATACCCCTTTAAGAAACAACAACCCTTATTAATCATGAGACATGTTCTAAACCTGAGATGTGATAACTAATATCTAAGTTCGAGAAAGTAGTCAACGTTGGTTAAACACATTGAGAGAGCCAATTTAAAATATCCGTCATTATGTATTTCGGCGTGAGATTAGAAAAAACGAAAGGCAAAATACGTTGGTTAAACACATTGAGAGAGCCAATTTAAAATATCTGTCATTATGTATTTCGGCGTCAGATTAGAAAAAACGAAAAACAAAGTGTTTTGNTGGTTAAACACATTGAGAGAGCCAATTTAAAATATCCGTCATTATGTATTTCGGCGTCAGATTAGAAAAAACGAAAAACAAAGTGTTTTGCCTGAGGATTTTGATAAGAATATGCATTATTAAACAGTCATGGTTTTTAATATGATCCCTTTCTAGATCTCCCGAAAGCACTCTCCAACTTGAACCAGAATCTGGATGACTTCATGGATATTGATAAACAAATCGTTAAAAGAAAGATCATATCGTGCATGACAACAAAAGAAACGACTATATCAGTCGTGACATCACTCCTAATTTCACCAATAACATTTCTCAAATTAATGTTGAATTTGAAATGTAGAATCAGAAATAGAGGTGTTAAACATGTTGTGCCATATCGACCTAGCTCAANATATCGTGCATGACAACAAAAGAAACGACTATATCAGTCGTGACATCACTCCTAATTTCACCAATAACATTTCTCAAATTAATGTTGAATTTGAAATGTAGAACCAGAAGTAGAGGTGTTAAACATGTTGTGTCATATCGACCTAGCTCAATAACATTCGTATTTAATCGTGCTTTGTGCTGTATCTGGCACAACCCGTTTCAAACCGACCCTATGTCTTTTGTGTTCGGACCTAAGCCAGGTCCAGCCCATGGTCACGGCACAAGTTGTGCTTGTGCCCCGTGCTCATGCCTTGTCTTGTCTCGTACTTTCATGTCAATAAATCAATTCTCAACTAATCAATGTGAATAATTTTTTTTACAAATTTTTGGGCAAACCTCTGACCGGACAAGAAAATGAAAAATTTGGTCAAATTTTTAAAAAACAAAGAAAAACAAAAACTATTAGTCATACCGTGCCCGGAGGCTCAAATTACCGGTCCAAGCAAGGGCAATTACCGGACCANTGTTCGGACCTAAGCCAGGTCCAGCCCATGGTCACGGCACAAGTTGTGCTTGTGCCCGTGCTCATGCCTTGTCCTGTCTCGTACTTTCATGTCAATAAATCAATTCTCAACTAATCAATGTGAATAATTTTTTTAACAAATTTTTGGGCAAACCTCTGACTGGGCAAGAAAATGAAAAATTTGGTCAAATTTTTAAAAAACAAAGAAAAACAAAAACTGTTAGTCATACCGTGCCCGGAGGCTCAAATTACCGGTCCAAGCAAGGGCAATTACCGGACCAGGAGTCTTGCCCTTGCTTAGGCCAGCCCATTTCAATTCGTGTCATGCTCACTTTTAGCCGGGCTGTGCCCGTAACTTGCACCGTGCCAACCCGGCCCAATTTACACCTCTATCCAGAAGATGTCAACGAGAGGAGAGTCTAGCCTTATTCATCAGAATTTATAAATTGTCCTTTGTATCTTTTTCCAGTTTCCTCTACAATCTCGACTTCCTATTGTCGCTCCTTTTCTATTATCCTTCCGATCACAGTTGTAAGTTTTCTCTTGTAATATACTTGTTTGCATTTGTTGGAGCTAGTTCTGCTCATGCCGTGAATTGCTCTTGGTAATCAATGTTCTCTTGTGCCTCTGACCACCGTTCCAGAGACGGGACAAGACCCCTTCTTAGGTGAGCGAAATCCAAACGCACATAAAATCTCACAATTGCCCTCGTATTTTTTTGCAATCTAGTCGCCCGGCAAGATCTAGGAAGTTATTCCTTTTAACTTCTTTAGTCTCCGACGACAATGGGTCTGTACTCTGTAGTCTCTCAAGATAATGGCAAGTCCAAGTATTAAATTGCACCAGTCATGGAAATCAAACTACTACATAAATTCTGCCTCTTCCTTCTTCAATCAAAGGTATATAAGTACATAGAAATGATTGAAAATGCAGATAATACAGAGCATCATACAGGTGACAGGACAATTAACCAGTGTCTTAGAAGAGCCAAGTAGAGAAATAAAATCCAACACCAAAAAAAAAAAATTAGAGAGAAATTAAGTGAAAAAACAGAGAATGTGAGAACCAAAAAATTTAAGGATTTGCTATATATAATTCCCCTTTTCAGCTAGCTAAGTGGCTGGGAGAGCTATTGAACATGGTGTGCCACATGTATGCTCTCGAAAGCACCATTTCAAGCTCCAGATAGGTCCAATTCTGAGTTGGAAGGTGTTGAAGGAACATAACCATCTCCTGGAAATCAAGCTTCTGGAGCTTATCCGACCACTGAAAATATATGAATAGCACAATAAATCACTTTTGTAAGCTATGCTTTTAATCAGGAGAGACTTTATTTGCAATTCATGCCTAATTGGTCCCACTAATTGTGCAAAACACCCAAGCTGAAAGACCAAAGAGTAGTCTTTACAACATTGGTAACAGACGGGAACCTTCATGAAAAACTTATCGGACATATTTAAAGAAAGAGAAAAAAGAAAGAACGGGATATCGCCAGCACAAACACACATGGTACATGCATGCCTCCAATGATAAAGGGGACTGAAATATAAATAAGTCCAGAGACATGCTGAAGTTTCTAAATGGCCTTGGGTGCATGCATTTATATTTCCTTCTCCACTAGCACAAGACAGGGAGGAGCAGGTTTTGGGCAATAAACTTCAACTTCATATTTTTGGGCGATCACATTTTACCTCGTGGTTTAGGTCCCCTAATCTAAACACCATGTACTTCAAAACACTACACTTTGGCTACTTTCAATTTTGGACTAAAGTGCGAAATATAGTGTGACTAGCAGTTAGGATTAAAAGGGCTAACAATAGCCCCCTTGATTTTTGTGAACTTTCAACATATACCACACCTATAACTAAAGCAATCATCGCGCAAGACCGCCACTCCATCACTTCCAACCTATCCATCACAGGAAAGAATCGAAGTGATCCCTATTCCTCAAAAAGTAATCATATTTCAATACAAATACATCTCGATCTGCTCTAGATTGCAGCCAAATGCCTCTTCCTCCTTCGATTATATGGATCTGAGGAAAGGAGTCGATTTCTGTCATAGATCGCACGGTATACTCAGAGGGAAATGTCTATAACCACCAGGGCTCTGATCTCCAAGAGAAAGGCCATTACTTAGTATAGCGCCTTCAATGTTATGATGTTTTCTTGCCTCTGTTCATGAAATCTTTCAACAGGCTCGCTCTTTTGGGTTCATTATCTGGTGATTCATATTAGGCTAAATGTTTTTAACTAGCTCATTCTGATGCGTGCATTCTTAATCCACAGAGAAAAATCAGTCTTTCCATTAGGCCCATATTTTACAGCCAGCCATCTTGACAGCAAAAACAAGTTTATCTAGTCCCCTAACAATAACGCTCCACAAGAGTATCCAACATGGATAGAGTGCCACCCCAAAGGAAAAGACAAAATGTGATCCCTGTGCTCAATGCTCCTGTGCAAAGATTTTTCCTAAAGTGGAATGGTTAAGATCAGAGTAAGATTATTCCACCAACTCCTCCATTATAACAAAAAGTACATCGTAGCCATAAACCTCTTTTTAGTCTAAAAAACTTCATCCCCATTTTTTTTTAAATCAAGAATGAGGTGGTTAGATGAATATTTTTATAATGGCCACGGTAGCATAGTGGCAATGTTAGATGGAAGCAGAGGCGATGGAGGTTAACTTACTAATCTGTTTAAATTGACTTTTTTGTGTTTGAACATCAATTTTGACGGAAACATGTAACGTTTCACCTGATTCAAACAAGAAAGAAAGGAGGCTAAATATAGATTTTAAAACCACATGGAATGGTAAAAGCGTCAAAAGGCCAAACGAAAGTGAGGTCAAAGGTAATTTTTTCCCCTCCTAATTTTTTGTTCAAGTGAAACAGTTGCACTTAACTAATGCACCCAGATTCCAAATATTGTTCCTTGAAGGAAAAACCCTCACTGTTTTCGAATCAGAAAACTTCATTTTAAAGACCAGTAAGAATGTGAATTCCAGAAGGGGTAAAAAAATTCATGCACTTCCCAAGAATAATTTATTGTAAGACCCCCATTGAGGCGATCAGGTTGTGAATAAATTAACTTGAGTTTGGTGAGGTACATTTTTTGCACCAGAAATGCATATTTTAAGACAGACTATGGGAGTCTATGTTCAGAGTTGTTTGATGCAATACTTTTCATCCTTATAAACAAGCTTGAAAAATCTTGTCTTTGGATATATCATTTCCAGTTGGAACTTGGATGATGCATCTTTTACAATCACAATTCCTTCAAATATTTGAACAAGCAAAGTATATAAGCACAAAAGTGAGAGAGACTTACTGTTAAAAGAAAACTGGCAGATATGTACACGAGGAAATCTGGCAGTGCATCTCCTTCTGCAAGATATGTGTCCCACAAGCGGGTAACAAGACCAAAGGGGATCTATAAAAAATATGCATTCATTAACTTTGCCTTCGCATAATAAAAGGAGGTCACATCTAAGGTAGGCCTATATTTGATGACTTTAAACCTATGTATCACAGGTTTAACCTACTCCATGGAGTAAATATGAAACCGATAAAAACAAAGAAACCTTCACAAATCTGGGGTACTGATGCAGGCATGGAAACAAACCTCACGTATCAGAAGACAATTAAACCAGCGGAAAGCAAATTGAAGAAATTCAAGCCCTTGCTCCTCCATGTGCCTTGAAACAGGTTCTGGTAAATTTGAAAGAATCCAGTCATTGATAGGATAAATAGATGTATTATGGAAAAATATAAGAATGTTGAATTCAGGAAAATGTGGTGGCGTTTGAACGGTAGAATTCACTACATTGCATCAGATACAAAAGAGGTAATAACAACACAATTAGCTTTTCAAATTTTTTTAGTACAGATTTCATCACAATACCATGAAAGCAAACGAAAAGAATCCTCAACATTCAGATAGTAGATTTTGGAAGGACCCACCCCTCAGAAGCATCCAGAATATTTTCTTCGACAAAAACGATTATACCACTGAATATTATTTTCAAAGTAAATGTTCAGAGTGAAAAGACTTATTGTCTGATATAGATTTATTCAAGGTTTATGTTGAACATACTGCCATGAGTTCTTAATACATTGTAATTCATCATGCCTCTTAAGCCCAAAAATTCTCACCATTAAAATCATCCATCCACAAATCTGAATAAATGGTAGCCTATCATCCAAGCCCCCAATGACCTCTTGGAGTGTATAAGAAATACTTATCAACAAGATTATATTTGAATTCACCAACGATTACTGCCCAAAGAAAGTCCTTGTGAGGCCTCTCAGATTATAAGCAACTGTCACCAGATTCTTCAAAATAGAAGTAAAATATCTTTCAGCTTGGAATAAACTCCTTTTTCATTTCCTCATGTGGTGATGATGGCGGTGATTTTGGGAGGGGGGAGGGGAGTGCAGGCAGTGCAAGGCTTATCTTCCTATCTAAAATCATTTTCCCATCTCTAAAACTTTCCATTGTCAAAATGTTTGCACCATTTATGGTGAATTTCCAATAGGATCCATTTTTTGCAAACTTATACCCAAAAGAAAAGTGCAGACCATGGATAATGAATGACGGAAAACAGTTTACAGCATCAAGAATGCACAAGACTTGGTATTTTTACAGCAGTGATCCCTATTCTAATATTAACAAAATGTCACTGTCCTAAGACAAAAACTGACAGTGCACCTATGTATTATGTCATCCCTGAATTTCCAACACTGCAGTTCCTTTTTTATAACCAGTAGTCTTATAATGCCTGCTCCTGCATGTTCAAAGCATTGCACAAGGTCTGTCTCACATGTACACCAGTGAACTCCCTGTTCTTTAAGTCCTTGCATACACCCGGCCTATTAACGACCTGACACAGAGTGCGTTAACTAAAGTTCTTCTGGGAATCAGGTACCATTTTTTAGCAAGCCTCCCAATGAAATAAAAGCATGAACCACTAATTCCAACTACTTCAAGAGTTCTGATGCACATTCCTAACTAACAGAAACAAAAGCAAAATAATCTGCCAGCCTACAAACAACTCACATCTGATTGACTCACTCTCTGCATTGCTGCCCTGATTTATACATTTTAATAGACCAATATCAGCAGGACAAAATCAAATGCAGTTGTGAATTTCCTCATGGTGGGTAGAAAAGAGACTTATTAATGAAGAGGTCTAAAAATAAATAAAGGCCAAAATGGCATACCATCAATCCGCCTAACCAATTCCTTAAGCTTAAACACAAGCCTTTGGATTCCTGGTTGAGCAAACGTATAATGGTCTTGCATACCATCAAGCAACTTTGATAGACACCAGTAGCAGTCAGCTTCTATGTTGTTGATTTTCTCCGGAGCTAGATCTGCCATTGACCAGTTATCAACACTCCCTTCTAAGTGTTCCGACAGGAAAACAACTAAAAAGGGTGTAGCAAGATCATTGATTCCTTGAACATATCCACTTGCAGGATGGCGGATGGCCCTGGAAGACAAGAGAAGGTAAATAGTAACACATTGTCTCTGAAGAAAGATGCCAATGAATATCATGCACAGTATGGTACCAGCAACTGCATTGGTGATGAAAGTTACATAAAAGGCTTTGAAATTTCCCAAGCTTCAGAAAGCATTTTGCAAGATAAGTATTAGCTATTCATGAATCATGACTAAAGAATGCCAGCACCTATGGGATACCACTTATTTGGGATGGATGCTGGGAATAAACAGAATACACAAAAACAAATTAACAAAATGGAGAAAACAAGTCACTAACCAGGTATAAAGTATGCGTTCCAAGGATTTTTGAATTTCCATTTGTTGAAAGAAAGAGACATCGGGTACAGTTCTAGGACAATCAACAGCAATCTGACAAAGACAACAAAAGGAAAAAATGTATCTGGTTAGACAGCACTTTTTCCAGCATGGACAGGTGAGAGGTGATTATTGAAACATACAACCAGTAATCAACCGCAATACCTGACGAAGCATGTTAATCTCTTCGTCTGTACGGTCAGTGTCTGGAATATCATAATACTGAGCAACACAATCAAGATAATCAAGACGCTTTCTTCTGAGAACTCCTTCCCTTCTATCTGAATTAGGGGGTGCATATCCCTGTTGTCAGTTCATATATAAATCTCAAGCAAACAACCTATTTTTCTTAATAAATACAACTTTGATCAGTGAGGGACCATATGAAATCTGCCAACACAGCTAAAAAGAAAAGCACATGCAAGTAGAAGAATGGAAACTTTTATGTTTCCCTCAACTTTTAACCTAACTTATAAATTTCAGTCTGAGGGATTTTAATCCAACCCAAATTCTTTGTAGAACCAATCAACAAAGTGTTTCCCCTGGACTAGGTGTTGTTTGTAGCACATATCCACATTGTAATTTTGGTTGTTTTCTTATATTTGCGTAATAGTTTACTGTTTACCCAATAATTTTGTCTAATTAGTGATGCAATTTGCACCATACGATATTCTGCGACCCCCAAGGAGATGATAAGAAAAATTAGGGATATTGCCTGGAATAATGGTAGAAGCTTGGGCTAACAGGAATAAGATGGATGGCTCAAAAGTAAAAGCAGCTATTTTGTGCAAATAGTGTCAAACATTAACAACAATTAAAGAGGGTATTTACAGTGATTTTCATGGTAAAGCAAAAATGATAAATGATGAGGCATCATCACCCATGCTTTTTTTTTTTTTTGTGGGGGAGGGACTTGAACTCTTGACCTCAAGAAGGGCAAACCTTCATAAAATAAGGAGTACCATTGGACCAAAGGCCCGTTGGTAACCCTGCTTAAATAACGACTCTTCACGAGGAAGCTCCCAAGCATTGAGAATTTTAGTCATTCATAAAACAAAACACAATCCCATTATATGGATAAACTCATGGGAATTCTGGGACATGTGTTTATTTCACCAAATAATCAATTTAAGCACATTATGGGTGATTAGGAATCTCCAAATCAATTTCAATCTAGATCTCGGTGAATCTATGGGAGAGAGTGATCGGGCAACGACTAGGACTTGAAACAACCGTACCTAAGAATCGAACTGAATTTATGCCTGAAGTCAATAGTGGAAGCTATATACTTACTTAAGAGACTAAAAGAAAGATATATAGAGAGAAAAAAAATCTTCATAAGCTGTTTATAGACTTAGAGAAGACATGTGACAAAGTCCTTATAGTCATTATATCGTAAGTTTTAGAGAACAAAAGAGTTACAAATAACTACATTAATATGTTTTGGGTGGAGTGACTTTAGCTAGAACAACTGCAGGAGAATGTAGAGAATTCTAAATCATTGTAGGCCTACATTAGGATTGAGGTTCCATAGTATATATTATTTGTTGATGATATATTATTGATTGATGAAACTAAAGTACAAATTAACAATAAATTAAAGTTTGGAGGGAAACTTTAAAATCAAATAGAGCAGGATAAGTAGAAAATAAAATTTAGGTTGAATAAATAGAATGTGGTTTTTAGTAATAACAGAAATTCAAATAGGGAGGTACTAAGGATCGAAAAACAAGAGATATCAAAAACTGAATATTTTTGGCGAATATGGGATCAATTGTCCAGGGAGATCGAAGAACATGTTAAGCATAACATAGAAATGCACTAGTGAGGGAAAGTAATTTAATACATATCGATGGTGATGCGAGAGAAAGGTCAAAATTACCTTTGACCAACATAGTGATACCATGCTCACAATTTAACAAAACATATGACTCATGATATAGTACAATGGAGAAACATAATTCAAGTAACCGACCCGAAATAGTTAGGATAAAGGCTTTGTTGAGTTAAGTTGAGCCTCAATTAATCTAGTAATTTGGTATACAAGGAAATCAACATCGAGTTCTATATCATATATTCCATTGCAAACTTTCCAAATCTAGAAAATAATGACAGTACAATCAAAGACAAGTAGAGAACTAGCCAGTTTTATCTATCCTCAGCTAATGAGTGCTCATGTGACTCTCTGAATCTCCTATGTAGTTTATTAACATATCATCAATGCAAAAAGTAAACAAGTGGACCGCACATTTGATCAGCCACACATTTTAATCCCTTTCAAAACGTTTTTCCTCTGTCTCATAATCTCTCCCTCCCTCCCTTTCTCTTCCCCTGCTCACATGTCAAATGCAATATTATTACACGCAAACATGTTATGCACTTAGCTAGAACCTATTGGTTGGAGGTCAATGTTATAATGGGCCTTGGAAATTCAAATTAAGCACCAAGACAGAAAAAGAAATCATGGATGCAAAGCAAAAGCTGGAGTCCATGTACTTGTAGTCAATAGTTAGACATAAAGCAAACAATCCATATTCCAGTCAATCTGCTTCCGAATGTTAATACCTAAGTTAGAAAATTGAGCATACCAAAAGAAGCCTCCATACGGTGGGCCGCATATATGGTGGGACACCACTCCAAGCTAATTCACGCAGTTTTTCTGCAAGATGAAATTAAGGAAAAGGCAAATCTATTTTAAAATCACAATTTTTTTAGAATAAACTGACACAGACCATATCAGGTATTTGAACAAGAAGCAAACGTAAATATTTATGCAGTAAATTTCCACAAGGACCATAAAGTTAATTGTCAAAAATAATGTGTCAACGAGCACCTATAACCAAATAAAGAAATTCATTGTGAGCAATTAAAGTGACAAGGGCGCAGCCACAATTCCTTAGGAGTGTAGGTAAGCAAATTCTATTTTTTTCCAAAAATGTGAAGACTGCACAAATTCAGTAATTATTCAACTTTTTATATAAGTAAAGATAGAACCCACTGATTCAAAAGAAAATACAACTACCTCAAAAATAACCAAAACATAAATAGCCCAAGAAGAAAACAGGAGATACTGTTATCATCAAATGATCCCTCTTCCAATCCAATGAATCCATTGACCCAAGAGAACCGAAAAACTAGCAAACCAAAATGCCATTTGTCTGTAACATCCTCCGCTAACTCTAGCAACCCAAATGTCCTATGTGTGCAAAGTAGTACCTATTCCCACCAAATAAGATAGCTCAAAGATGACATCATCTAATCATTCTTATATAAAAAAATAACTATCCCGTGTCTTCCTGTCAAAAGATGCTACTTTTAGCTTCTCAGATATGCATTTGTTTCTTCATATCTCACTTTTACTTCCAACAATACATGCTTTTTGAGCACAAATTAATCACCTCTCAAATTACAAGACACCCTCGTGGTTTTATCATATGTCACTGGAATTACACTTTGCCTCCATTGGTTTGTGATGAATTTCACAGGGTACACATAAGCAGATAAAATGGTGACAAAAATTGACGAAGGAGGTGACGTTATCACAATATGCCCCTAAACTACCCATTTGTCCTTTAATTCAACAAATTAACATAAAAAATAAAAACTGACTCAAAGGCTTATAGCCCCACCAAATAAAGACACAGGCCCAACAAAAAGATCCACTAAGCAAATGCCCAGGCCAAAAATCAAATAATCTTCTCTCCAATTCCCTCCCTCCCCTCAGGCTGCCTCTCGGAGCTATGTGCAAATTGGCATAGCTCTTGCTTACTCTCTCTTCCCTCTCTCAATTTCAATTGTCACCAACAGCAGTGAATAAAAGGGGGGGACAAAATAGTAATACCACAAACAATCCATCTCTGTAAACTTCAAACTGATCAACAACTCCTCTCTCTGCTCAGAACCTAAAGATGAAGAAATTGGTTGTGCGATGGGTTTTCAATTTGGTTGCATGATTGCGATTAGAATATGATTATGTGGTGTGTTTTGCTATTGAGATGGATTATATTCAAACAAAAATTTCCAGTAGAACATACTCAGCTCTTTATATGCATATACATGTATATACATTGGTTGCTAAAATTAGGATCCTACCTCGGATCGTCAGGGATGTGAAAAGATCAAGATCGTATGATTGGATCAAGAATCTTAAGATTTTACAAACTAAAAAAAAATGGGACTAAAAATACACGTAACGATGCAAAATTCTTAAAAATGGACGTAAAACAAATGTTATGATATAGTTATATGAAACATGTACATATCAACAAGTTCGCCCAAATAAATTTGACAATGTATCTCAAAAGGTAGAGTCCTCAAACCAATAATTAAATAAACAAGTTAATAGGTTGTTAGAGAGAAGATCAAGCTCGAATCCTTACCTTCCCATTTGTTTTTACTTGTAATACCTAACTTTATATCAGCCACCTATCACAATAGAACCAACATTTTGACAGTATGATCACACATGATCCAGAGCTCGAACGATAACGACTATGTAATCTAGCGCCATTTCGGATCGCAATTCCAATAACAATGGTATATCCATAAAAAAAAGAGTGGCCATTGGGGAAGTTGGGTGGCAGTGCTACTTAGTGTGTGTGTGTATGTACATATGCGTGAGTGTGTGTGGTCACGATCATAGTGATGTTGCAAGTGTGCGTGTCTATTACAATAGTGAAGCTGGATAAGAAGTTCAACCAAAAGCATTACATGGTCAATCGAAAATAACATAAGAAACAAACTAAAAATCACACAAAGCATTCCACCCCGCCTAGGAAGCACGGATACTCGTCGGGGGGTTGCCGTGGCAGTGTCGGACACGTGTCCGACACGGATACGCGTGTTCGACGGTCGGATACGTGTCCAACACTTGTAGAAGTGTCCTGAACAGTGGCTGTCATTTTTTTTGGTCGTATACGTCTCAGATACGTGGAGGATACGACGGGGTACTTTTATTATTTTAAAAACTTAGGTGGGTCAAAACGAAAAAAAAAAAAAGGTCAAAGCTACGTCGTTTTGGCTTGAAAAAGAAAAAACTAAAGCGTCGTTGATCTATGAATCGACTCTAACCGACATTCGGTGTGTTCGAGAGAGAGAGAGGAGCTCGAGAGGACTAGAGGAGGAGAAGAAGAAGGAGAGGTAAGAGGAAGGGCGACTCACCTGTGCCGGCGATCGCGCTCTGCGACTGCGATCTTCTTCTTGCTTCTATTTTTTTTTTTTTCAGATCTACTACTACTCTTACCTCTTCATCTTCTGGTCTGTGTGAAGTGTGGACTTTGGAAAATTTTGATTAGGTTAATTTGATTGAGAATTTTTAGAGTTTTCAAAATTTGAGAATTTTATTTTGGTCCNGCGCCGGCGATCGCGCTCTGCGACTGCGATCTTCTTCTTGCTTCTATTTTTTTTTTTTTCAGATCTACTGCTACTCTTACCTCTTCATCTTCTGGTCTGTGTGAAGTGTGGACTTTGGAAAATTTTGATTAGGTTAATTTGATTGGGAATTTTTAGAGTTTTCAAAATTTGAGAATTTTATTTTGGTCCAGTGTTGTGTTGCTTGCTGCCTTCGGGATTTTTTTTGGTCTTGGTCATCTGTGTTGCTGCCTTTCTGTGCTAATGTGCTGGTGCCAACTGATTTTAAATACTAAAAATTGATTTCCTAGCTTGCTGTCTTTCGGTGTTGTGTTGCTTGCTGCCCGCTGGTCTTCTCTTTTTTGTTGTGCTTCGGTCTTCTCTTTTTTTGTTATGCATTCCTAGCTAGCTTTTTTTTTGGTCATCTATATTGCTGCCTTCTGTGCTAGTGTGCTGCTGCCTGCTGGTTTTGAAAATTATATATATTTTTTGAATTTTGATCTATTTTAATTTAAGTAATGTTTACTATGTCTTGTTTGTTATTATTAATGTTGTTGTTATATATATAAAAATATATATAATTATTTTAATTAGTCGTATCCTCGCCGTACCCGTATCCTACATTTTAGAATTTTTTCGTATCGACGTGTCCGTATCCGTGCTTCTTAGCACCCAGCCAACAAGAATCAAAATTTCGTTTCGGTGCATTATTTTAGTCACCTAGGAAACGGAAATATTTCAATTTGTTTCGAAAACATTTCAACCCATTTCGAAAATAGAATTAAAAAAATAAAAAAATTAAGAATTATTTTTTCAAAACATTGGTCGAAATATACCAAAATATCTTGAAATACCTTGAAACATTCCGAAATAATTGTGCAAACGCATTGAAATAAAACAAAATAATTCGAAATATTATGGAATACCTCGAAGTATTAGAATTTTTAATTTCATCACTGATTCGTTTTGGCCTCCTTAGAAACGGAAACGTTTTTGATGTTTCGACCATTTTGAAACGATATTTTGATCCTTGCCCGCCAACATGCAAAAGAGTGGGCTTTCTTGAAATTCTTTATNTGAAACATTCCGAAATAATTGTGCAAACGCATTGAAATAAAACAAAATAATTCGAAACATTATGGAATACCTCGAAGTATTAGAATTTTTAATTTCATCACTGATTCGTTTTGGCCTCCTTAGAAACGGAAACGTTTTGGATGTTTCGACCATTTTGAAACGATATTTTGATCCTTGCCCGCCAACATGCAAAAGAGTGGGCTTTCTTGAAATTCTTTACTGAGAGAGGCCCAAAAAGATGCAAAGAAGTAGCTCCGATCCCATAATGCTTCCACNTTGAGAGAGGCCCAAAAAGATGCAAAGAAGTAGCTCCGATCCCATAATGCTTCCACTACTCACATCTATTGTCATATATCCTCGCAATCCACTCCAATCAAATAACCACACAATAGCAAAGCACCCACAAGTCCATAAATTGGTTCCTCTTTTTGTGGTTCCAAAACCACTAAAAACCTTAACAAACATGTAGCAGAAGGAACTAGGAGGTGCCCAACTCAATCATTCAACATTAAACAACTTATGTCATAAAGACAATGCAACAGAAGAATGTAGGAATAGATGATACACTCATTCACTAGCATCTCAACACCTAACACACCATTGCAGAGAAACAAAAGTCTAAGGTCTTCTCTTTTGAAGCGAGTCATTAGTGTACGAAAGTTCATGCACAAACTTGCACTTTTATGGGTACTTTGGCCTTTCAAATTATCGCAGATGGGAGAAACACCTATATGAATAATTCTCTATTAGAAAATCAAAGAAAGACTCACAAGAAAAAGTACCAAAAGGATGTACAGTCCAACTTTTTTTTTATCTCCTCATTAGCACAATTACAACACAAAAGAAGTGTGGCCATATCCAAGAGATCTTTATCTTCAAGCTATGAATAAAATCAAAGTCCTAAGAATGTGCCTAAAAACTATGGACTATCATGGAAGCAATGGAAGATTTATAAACATCAAAAATCCAATAGAGATGAGGAAACCTACATGGTAATTAAGACTCCAATCCAAACATCCTCCTAGAGCCTAACTCTCTTTCCATTCCCAACCAATGCTTCCTAGATCGTCAATTTGGTACATCATACGGATGCAATAGGCATGCAGTGATATGCGGTGTGATGAGAGTAGACTTAGTTGGTACGTTGTTTCGACTCGTAGTTCTCTTTTTGACTCATTCAGATCGCTTTTACTATTAGAGGAAATTATATATTATGATACGTCCATACACACATAGTGATTTGATATTTTTTATATATTTCTCATAAGAGTTCTAAAGTGAAACATAATCCAAGAAAGCTCGTGGTTGCATATATGTATTTACGAAAAAAATTGAAAGCATAATAAATGAAAATGTTAGTTTAAAGATCACCAAAATAAAGATATACTTACTTAGGATTACAATTTGAGGTTAAAGTTGTANAAGCATAATAAATGAAAATGTTAGTTTAAAGATCACCAAAATAAAGATATACTTACTTAGGATTACAATTTGAGGTTAAAGTTGTAATTAGGGATAATTTGGATCATGGATCAACATGGGGTTTAAGTTACACTTTGGGGTTAGGAATTTTGATGATTGAGGTCACGAACCCACCTTTTTTTTGTTTTATGACCTTGATCCATGGAAAATTTGAAGTATTCACAATCCTAATATCCATCCAGAAAACATATTTTTGTCATTGTGTAAAAATCTATTTCAATGCATGGGTAACCCCACTCACTCCAATAATTTCCCATTTCTACCCAGTTATAATGTTAGTATCCCAGNTAATTAGGGATAATTTGGATCATGGATCAACATGGGGTTTAAGTTACACTTTGGGGTCAGGAATTTTGATGATTGAGGTCACGAACCCACCTTTTTTTTGTTTTATGACCTTGATCCATGGAAAACTTGAAGTATTCACAATCCTAATATCCATCCAGAAAACATATTTTTGTCATTGTGTAAAAATCTATTTCAATGCATAGGTAACCCCACTCACTCCAATAATTTCCCATTTCTAACCAGTTATAATGTTAGTATCCCAAGACAAGGAAACCATTTTTTTGCTCTTGATAACCAAATGCCAAAGTGATCCACAAGAAATCTCTAAAGTCATTTTCTTACTAAAGCTACATTTCTCACCAATTGCTTACCAATCAAAAGACCCTTGTGATTCTCAATTTTGCCACCACCTCCCACTTAACTAAGTTATCCTTCCTACCCTCGCAACTTTCTTCCCACATAAAGTTTCTCATCATCTTTTCAATTCTCAATACTNCCCACTTAACTAAGTTATCCTTCCTACCCTCGCAACTTTCTTCCCACATAAAGTTTCCCATCNCCACCTCCCACTTAACTAAGTTATCCTTCCTACCCTCGCAACTTTCTTCCCACATAAAGTTTCTCATCATCTTTTCAATTCTCAATACTACTTTTCCTACATCTTAAACAAAGATAGGAAATAAATGGGAATGCAAGATAATCTCTCTAAATTAGTATTTGTCTTCCTCCTAAATGTAAGCCCTCTTCTACCCATCTAATCTCTTCTTCACTTTCTCAATAATTGGCTCCCAAAAAATCACAAAGATTGGATTACCCCCAAGGGGAGTCCCAAATTCTTTATAGGTCACTCCCTTACAACACATCCCAATAGGCCAACTACCCTTTCAATCTTACCTTGTTGGGAGTTGACACTCAATAACATCTTTCTCCATGTTAGACTTCAACCCTGAAACAATCCAGATAATTTCACAATGTTGCTGAAATTTTAAAATTTTACCTCATCATTAGTAAAATTGCAAATGAAAGCTGGAACAAAGCCCTTCACAAGCTTATACCTACTAGCTTGAGCACCAGCGACAAAAGTGAATTAAAAAGGTGGTCAAGGATCACCATGCCTAAGTCCCCTAGTACATACCTCTGTCCTTTCGGATCTTTCTTTCACCCCTAACATTGAAACCTCTAATGAGTAGTCTACTTTGCTTGAAGTGCACTTTTTAGCCAAGTATGTGGACGGAATCGCTATCCAATTGACGAGGAGGTAGTTTGTCATTAGCTAGTCTTCAAAGTAGCTTTGTTTTGTCTAATCCAAGTTTCTAAGATGATTTTCTCAAGGATGACAAAAAAAGATCGAACTCTTGAAGATGGTTGGAGTTGACTTCAATTAAATTCACATCTAAGGATAAATAATCAATTGAAGCCCTTGAACATAACTCTACGCTTGTCATCAAACATGAATGAGAAATTTAACAACTTTAAGCCACCCATTAACCCCTTTCTCCCCTTATCCCCAAAACTTTTTACTTCCAATACAAAATCTAAGAAATCCTAATCCACATGATCATATGCCTTTTGAAAGCCAATTTTAAACACAATGCCTTCTTTAACTCAAGACTTATACTCCTCCAATATCTCATTAACAATCAAAGCTACATCCAAAATTTGTCTACTGTTGGCAAATGCACCTTGACAATCCAAAAGGGTATCAAGAGATTGAAAGGTCTAAAATCCCTCATTTTCAAAGAAGTGACCTTTTGCTGTTCAGACAAATACATGTAGCACTAGTAATTTCATTAATCATCCCATTAGTAAAAAATTCAACAAACACTCCTACTAAATCACCTCTAAACACATCCCAACGATCCTAAAAAAGAGGAATAGTGAATCCAGCATGGCCAGGTGCTTTTCCTCTACCACACTCAAAAGTTGTAAACCTAACATCTTCAAAAGGTATTTCCAACCAGTTTGATTTGCTCACATATTCTACTCCAATCCTTCCAATCTAGGCCTATGTTCCTGTAAAGATGAAAACAATCTATAGTAAAAATCAATAATCTCATTTTCAATCCCTGTTTCATCATCAATTATCTCTTTGTTTTTTAACTCTATCTCCCATCAGCCACTCTATGAAAAAATTATGAATTATTGTCACCTTCCTTAATCTAGCTCACCCTCTTCAAATTACTTCCTAAGATACCACACTTCTTTCCTTCAAAATTAATCAAGGCCCCCACTCTCATCCATCTTACCAATCTACTAAATTCTTGTCACAATCAAATTTTTCATAACCGTAAACTCACCAAAAACCTCTTGAAACTTTCCTTCTATTTAGACCTCAAAAAGTTTGTTTTTCATGAATTTAAAACCCTCACACTCCTGATTGCATCCTTCTTGCCACCCAACCACTCTCTTATTCGGTCTCTGAAGGAATGGTGTTCTAACTACATGGCTTCAAACCTGAAAGGACATGTACCCATTTAATAGGAGAGGACTTAATATTATAGAGCAATAGTTAGACCAATGTTAACAGGATCATGGGCGAAATNTACCCATTTAATAGGAGAGGACTTAATATTATAGAGCAATAGTTAGACCAATGTTAATAGGATCATGGGTGAAATTTGTATGTNGTTAACAGGATCATGGGCGAAATTTGTATGTGGTATGGGTACGGTACATGGTACGATACTTTCTCAAGCCCACGGTGCGATGGGGGTAGGCTTACCTGATACAATGTTTTGGGTTGCAATTTTTTATGGACTATACATACATACTAACATAGTTAATTAGTATTTATTTAATATTTGTGACACATGTTCCAAATCGAATCAAATTGGGGTTAATATTACAATCTAGAGTCACACAGTTAGGTGATCTGGATCGTGAACTCACCCATTTTAAGATTGCTATACCTAGATCGTGAGTCAAACACCAACTTCTCTCTAAATTTTGACAAGGTAAAAAACCAAAGGGTGATGTTTTAAGCCCAATTCCCTAATGAAAGAATAAAAATCTCTCAAATTTTTGGTAACTCTTCCTCCATGAAACTTTCCATTAGGGAATCTACTCACATTAACCTCCAAGACACCAAGAAGAACAACACAAACCAAACAACACACCCAACTCTTCCCACAAATGACGTTTATCCCATGGCAATTCGGACCATACACCACCGTCAGCAACCACTCAACGTTATTCCAAGCCTTAACCCTAGTCGAAACTTACATACAAGAAGAAATGATGTAGGACCATACATACAACCCAGTGAAAAAATTGTGCTTTTTTAACTTACAATAGCACCAATATTTAANGTCAGCAACCACTCAACGTTATTCCAAGCCTTAACCCTAGTCGAAACTTACATACAATAAGAAATGATGTAGGACCATACATACAACCCAGTGAAAAAATTGTGCTTTTTTAACTTACAATAGCACCAATATTTACAACTATTCATCAAAAAAGAAGAAGAAATGATGTAGGACGCAAGAGGAAGAAATAAAAGAATGGAAAAGAAGAAGTGAATCCAAATCCTCGCATGGATAAGATCAAGAAACACACATCTCTACGGAGAAACAATTTTATTAATATCACACTCTACAATGAAATAGTAGGCTTACATCCATATTTATAAGCTAAGTCTACCAAACTAAAAACTACTATCCTACTAAATTTCAAAAGAATTTCATAATCACGCTCTCAAATTACTCTCCTATTAAAACTATACAATAGTTTCTAAGTCAAACTCTATCTAACACTCATAATCAAACAAATATTGTTTAATTAAATAACAAAACTAATCCCAATTAAAAATAAACAAATAAAAGGTTTATTGATTGAATACAGTAACAGCCAAGTCAAGCATATTTCTAGAGGTTGTCAATCATACTAGACTTTTTAGGGCGTAGTTTCTTCTTAGCATATCAACTTGTTAAAACAAACACCACCAACCAGAATCTAAAACTCAAAAAGAAAAACAATACATGAAGAAGAAAAAAAAAGTAGGATCTACACTAAACTTCACCAATTCATATGCAATAGCAACCCAATATAGGGCCTAGCATCTTTCCAGCTATAGAAAACTTGCAATACTCTAGAACATATGTCCTGCAGATATCATCTCTAGATTATCACACTTCCCTAAATAGGCAAGAACCAAAAAGTTAAATAATGAAATTACATGATAAAAGTTACAATACCTAAGATGGCAGCTGGCCCAGACAATTCTTTTGAGAACTTCATTAGCCTAGCGGAATCCGTAGCTCTAGCACCCATTGTTGACTTCTGGATCTCTTTGGTAGTATTTTCTGGCGTTGACAATTTTAACTTGTTAACAGATGAATTAATTTTCAGCTTGCTTCTACCTTGATCTTCATCCTAAATTAAAAAGGAAGAAGAAGAAATAAATGATATTTTCATTTCAAAATCTTTAGTTTTAATGCTATAGATGAACAAAATGGAGGGTCATTATCAGTAGTACCTCAACATATTCATCTATTTGTTCATTTCGTCCAGTGTCACTGTCCGAGAAACTCCGGTTAGTGTCTGGAGAGCGTAAAGTTAAGTCATCCAGTGGGTTCGATCTCCGTGTTATCAATACCTTACCAGGAAAACTGCGACCTTTAAGCAACCTACATAGTGCTCAAAGAGTAAATCCAAATTTCAAGGGGAAAAAAAAAGGGAATTCATATATGCATTGGTGGCAGGAACCCAAACCCAAGGAAATCCAGCAAAATGAATGATATGTAATGAAAATAGCAGTGGATGCCATGCTTTGGATATCGATTAAGTGTGGAGATATTGAAACCCTTCATAGAATGCATTTTAAAAGAGCATTTATGCAATAAATGTAGTCAAAATACTAGATATCATGCTTCCACAAATAACCTGTAAACCCCAACCACCATGAACTACTAAAAGAGTGGACAGTGCAGCAAAAGCAACATGGAGTCAAAATGGTAAAAATGGAGATTGATTGGTCATAGGATAACAACTCTACCAATACTTTCATAAACCCAACCAGGTAAAGGAATGTATGAATGACAATTCACCAGCTTGGGTCCCAGACATTACAAATAGAGGGTGGCTTCACTTGATTGGGACATTACCACATTGTTGGCAACAAGCTTGTACCTCATCATTGTACCAAGACAATATCGTATAGTAGCTCTTCTCATACAAAAGCAGCATGCATAAAAACCATATATGTATAATTTTGAAGGCAGACTAACATTAATCCAAGCCTGTATCTAAACAATAATGGGTGGCACACGCAAAGACACCATTAACATATTGACATAATACGGTATCAGTATTCTTTAAGTTTGATGCAATTCACAATCTATCTACATGCAAACAAACAATATCAACTTTTNGTGGCACACGCAAAGACACCATTAACATATTGACATAATACGGTATCAGTATTCTTTTAAGTTTGATGCAATTCACAATCTATCTACATGCAAACAAACAATATCAACTTTAGTAAAACAAAAAAAAAATATCATTCAACAGACTAATAGAGGAAGGAGAGAGAGAGAGAGAGATTGGAGTTATTTTTACACTAGGGTACAAACAAACAAAAAATAGTATCAATTTCGAAAATTTCAAATAAATTTGAGAGAGAGAAAGACTATACAAAAGATAAACTGATAAGCAGAAAAGTCCTGCATTGTAAGTCTAGATATAATTACCTAGGAAGCACATAGAAGAGATAGGAATACAATACAATGCGGACAAATCGATTTGACCAATTTAAAAGAATTGAATACAAATACGGCTAGCGTCCAAAATAAGATTTTTACTATTCTCCAATGCTATGATAACTCTAACTTTCAGTTAATTCTTTTACGACAATCCAAAAAGTAAGCAATCTTTATAGTCAAAGAAGATTAGATTGTCTCCTCATGGTATACCCGCAAAGTAAATGTAGCTAATTAAAAAAATAGAACAATATTTAACTAATTGGTTAACTCAGAAATACTTGTTGCCAAGCTCTAGCGCATTTTGTCATTTTGAAATGTGATAATTGACACGACTTAAGGAACACCCACGTGCCTTCAAAGCCATGGGAGTTTTCTTTTTGTGTATAAATGTGAATTCGAGAGGCAATGATAAACATTAGAATAAACAATTATAAAGATTGTTTTGCGTATCCACCTCCATGTGTAAAGCATATTCGTCTTGGATACCCAAATTCAAGACGTATCTAGAAATAAAATACATTATCAAGTATTGAATTGGTATGGTGCGTATCCAATATTTATCTTTGAGCATCTGAAGAGTACCATATCCTATACGGATATTTGGCCTAAACAAAGTATCTGTCTACCTTATCGCATAAATTCACACATCTGAAGCACCCAAATACATACATTTCCATTTTTGGTAATTATAATCCATATGAGTTGTTTGGCGTATTTTGGATTGCAGGTGTGCTTAGTGTTTTGAAAAGTGCGCCTAGGCACTCGCCTAGGTGAGAAGCGATGTTATCTCGCTTGGAGGACCCCAGGCGAAGCAAACGTGAACAAAACGAGAAAAAAGCGAAAAAAGCGTTCGCCTAGCACTTAAGCACAAGGTGAAAAAGCGACCGCTTTTGTTATGAGAAGCGAAATTATTTTATTTTTAATTTGGACCGTTGGATTGGGCGATTGAAAAAAATATTATAAGATGTGATACACCGAATTATCCCCTTATCCAATAAATACAAACCAAACCCTAATTTAAATCAGATTTTTCGTTGGCTGGACTCCTACATACGATCGCTGGACTCCTACACCCGATTGCTGGACTCGATCAACAGAGACGATTGACTCTCTGTCGCTGCTCCTAAGGTTTCTTCGCTGCTCGTTGCTCACGCTAGACAGAGTCTCCTTCCTCACCGATCTTGTTGATCGCTGCACAGGTTAGTCCTTTTTTTTTTTTATTTATCTCTTCTATTTCTCTTTTTTTCTTCTCTTTTCTAGTTCTGGATCTTCTTCCTCGCTGCTCCTTTTTTTTTTTTTCTTGATTCTGATTCTGGTCCTACTGATTCTGATTTTGCTCCTACAGAGTCTCCTTCCTCACTGCACAGGTTAGTCTCCTTTTTTTTTCTTTTTTTTTTTCTATTTCTCTTTTTTTCTTCTCTTTTCTGGTTCTAGATCTTCTTCCTCACTGCTCTTTTTTTTTTCCTTATTTTGATTCTGCTCCTACACAATCTCCTTCCTCGTTGCATAGGTTAGTCTCCTTTTTTTTTTTTTTTTTTGTTTCCTGATTTCCTGATTGTGCTTCTGATTGTGAGCGAAATTGGAGTGTACTGCTTTGACTGTGCTTCCTGATTGTGCCCTGATTCTGATTTTGATGTTTTGTTATTCTGTTTTGCTGTCCTGAAATGTGATTCAGTACATGTGTATAAGATTACGAATGTACATAAAAATAAATTTNTGATTTCCTGATTGTGCTTCTGATTGTGAGCGAAATTGGAGTGTACTGCTTTGACTGTGCTTCCTGATTGTGCCCTGATTCTGATTTTGATGTTTTGTTGTTCTGTTTTGCTGTCCTGAAATGTGATTCAGTACATGTGTATAAGATTACGAATGTACATAAAAATAAATTTACAAAAACAATTGTGGTTGATTGATATATTTTAACAAAAACACATTTAGGATATTATTAGTGTTTGTTTAAATTAAAATGTTTAAGCTATGACTGTTATTAAAATTTGAGATATTATTGGNGTGGTTGATTGATATATTTTAACAAAAACACATTTAGGATATTATTAGTGTTTGTTTGAATTANAGATTACGAATGTACATAAAAATAAATTTACAAAAACAATTGTGGTTGATTGATATATTTTAACAAAAACACATTTAGGATATTATTAGTGTTTGTTTAAATTAAAATGTTTAAGCTATGACTGTTATTAAAATTTGAGATATTATTAGTGTTTGTTTTAATTTAAATGTTTATGGTTTTACTTGCATTTAAATATTTAGTATATATAAAATTAGAACTTAGATATGTATAAGTAATTAAACTAAAATATTTATTTATTTTTTTAGGTAAATCGTTTCGCTTCGCTTCTCGCTTCTCGCCTAAGCGTTAAGAGTCTTGGTCGCTTCGGTTCGCTTTACGCCTTAAATAACACTGGGTGTGCTAAAGTCCAACTAAACTTGAGATCCAAACACGTATAACCTTACCTATTCGAACCAGCGTGAGGTTTTAATATTGTAACTGTAAGACGATTGTAACAAGGCGAAAGTTACCTTTGAGCTCTTTTCTATGCCTTGGGGATCAAAGTCTGAAACAATTTCTTAACTTGTAACGTAATGGACTGGAATGTAAAAAGATAACTGAAAAGTAAACTACCAAAGAAACTAAACTTAATAGATGAAAAGATTATTATACTTAATATTAAATAAAAATGTAAAAATCACCAAAGTGATGAATTATAGGCTAAGGTAAGATTGTTGGGAAGAAAACTAAGTAGTAGAGAGGCTGATTCTGTATAGAGTTGTTGTATTGATCGTGATTCCTTTATCTGTAGCCTTGCATTTGTTATTTATAGGAGATAGCCCTTAACCGTTGAAGCCATCTTTTCCGGCCATGACTGTAATTATGGCCTCTTCCCTCGAGATTGTGCAGACTTGAACCGAACCGTCTCTAACCAACAGCTCGTGATGTCATGATTCCTTATTTCTCGATATTCTTAGAGTCTCACTTCCTTAACTAGTCAAGTATGGACTTCCACATACTCTTTCCAGGGCCGGCCCTATTGTAAGGCCATCAAAGCCTGGGCTTTATGCCCAATATTTTTAGTTAGGCCCCATTTTTTGTAATTATAACCACTAGGCTAAATACAAAATTTAATTTTATAAAATTTAAGCACAACAATAAAATTAAATTTAGATTTAAATTGAATAGTTTGGGCCTATTTCTCCATCCCACGACACCAAAATATCATAAAAAAATTTATAAAAAACATAAAAAACNAATTGAATAGTTTGGGCCTATTTCTCCATCCCACGACACCAAAATATCATAAAAAAAATTTAAAAAAACATAAAAAAAAAANCCACGACACCAAAATATCATAAAAAAATTTATAAAAAACATAAAAAACAAAAAAAATAACAGTAAAAAGTGAACTTTTAGACATTTTCTCTCAACCACTCCGTGTGTGTGTGTGTGTGTTTGTGCATGGTAAAAGAGTTTGGAAGACCAACAGATTCCCACTTTCACTTTATCTCTCTCTCTCACAAAGGGCAACTGATCTACTTTTTTTTATTTTTTTATTTTTTTATTTTGATCGTCTGCCTTTGTTTGTTTATTTGTTGTTTTTATACACTAAAATTCACAAAGTCTATAGTTCTCTATTAGCATTATCATTTTATGCTTGGGAGTGGGCATCTCAAAAAACGAGAAGAATAAATTTTAAATAAAATACTATTTTTAAAAATAAAAGGCCTCTTTTTTATTTGCCGCTTTAGGACCCAAAATGTCACGGGCCGCCCCTGACTCTTTCCATGACCGTTAGATTGATTCCACGTGTCACCTTAGAATTTACTATTTTGGGTGTAAAACAGAGTAAATCCAAACCATGATGTCTCAGCAATCAGATATAAAACACCAAATACAAACCAATGCATCACAAAGCCGACCTTTTTCTCACTAGTTACATATCGTAAGTCAAACACCAATAATGATGCAAAGGTTGTCAACTCTTTTCTGTATGTGCATTCAAACCTGCAGAAAATCAGACACAATGAATAATGGCCAATCATCATAACCGGAAAACAAGGCTCCTAGCTATAACAGGGATTTCTGAGAGATAAGTGCAGCCTTGCACCATTTTGAAGAGGCTGGAAAATGGAAAATGAGAATTCAAATTGCCTCTGGAAATGAAATTCTGAATCACATAATCAGGAATACGCAGAATTGAAGGCCCACTTTTGCAAAAGATAAAACCCTTTTAGTATCAACTGCCCAAACTTGCACACAGAGGATCAAAAACAAACGGAATTACAAAATTTGGGAGGAAAGAGTGACCAGATGAGTTCCGTATCACTTCATGCAAATCAAAGGAGTAGAGAGAGAGAACTCTCTCTACTTTCAAGTAATTTTAACAAAAACTCTAATAAGCAAAGTTGAACAAGCATCAGAAGTAAATTCCAATTCGTGCACATCAATTTCAAGCGCAGAAAGAGATAAATAGACACGCCTAATTTTTTCATATAGGATTAATCACACAAAAGCGAAAAGAAAGAGCTTCACGAGCAAGAAATTCCGATNAACGGAATTACAAAATTTGGGAGGAAAGAGTGACCAGATGAGTTCCGTATCACTTCGTGCAAATCAAAGGAGTAGAGAGAGAGAACTCTCTCTACTTTCAAGTAATTTTAACAAAAACTCTAATAAGCAAAGTTGAACAGGCATCAGAAGTAAATTCCAATTCGTGCACATCAATTTCAAGCGCAGAAAGAGATAAATAGACACGCCTAATTTTTTCATACAGGATTAATCACACAAAAGCGAAAAGAAAGAGCTTCACGAGCAAGAAATTCCGATATTGTAAGTCTAATTGCATGTATTTATCAATCAACTAATAACACAAACCAGTTAATTTTTCAGCTACTAGAATAGAAAGCATCAAATTCAAACCAATAACTAAAAAGCACACATTTTTCTCACTGATCACACAACTTCACCTAAAACCAACAAAGACCCAAGTGAAATTTCTCACAGGAAATCGTCAAATTTGAACGAACGGAATACATAGATTTTTCACATCGATCACACATTCTAACTCAAACTCAAAAAAGACCCATATGGAAATTTTCATTTATTTATCACTGGTTCCCAAGATCTTCAAGAATTCTCAAATGAGTATTCATAACTAGGTAAAATCAGAAACATAGATTGATTTGTAAGAAATGAGAATTGAGATTTTCTTGGGAATGGAAGCAAAGAGCTGTTGGATCTATGGGGAATGAATCAGAAAGGAATTGTAAAAGAACACAAACATACCCTTGAACATTTCGGAGTGTTTGGTTGAATCTGGAATCGAGACTTGAGATATTACTTGTAGAAGTCTCCTTTCGATCTTGTTCCTTATTGTTGCTGACGTTGGTATTGCTATTCATGGTTTCTTGGTGTTGATCATTGTTTGTGCTCACTTCATCACTTTGACCCTTTACAAAGCAAGCTATGCTCGTCGGAAAATATCAACAGATCAAAAAATTTGACCAATTGACTTATGATAATGTCTTTTCATTGAAACGATTACTGGACCAAATTTTAATGCTCGATGGATTTTATATTAAATTTAAAATTTAAAATAAATTAAATCAAAAAATTAAATCCGTAAATTACATTTCAATAGTATTATTAAAAAATCAATAAGTAATTTGCCTACCAAATGTTTAATTTAGAAATAATGTTTAAATCAATCCCGATGGAGCAAGGATAATGTGAAAAATTTTAATAGTTTACCAGTCAAAATGAGACCAATTTTATAATTGAAAGAGTTAAAATATATTTTTTTCTTATCATCTATTTTGCCTTCTATAATGAATACATTCCCATTTTTCAAGAATATTATAAAAGTTTAAAATATGTGGGAAAATAGACATAAGTGAATGTAGAGATTTATATTTACTTGTTGTTTCGCACATATATTACACGTGGACTATTTTGAACCATAATTTTAATGTTTATTTTTTATCTATATAATAAAAGGAAATGCTATAATCACATTTATTAAATAGATAGTGGGTTCTAATAAATACTGAGACCTATAGTAAAATTAATTGTTATAATTATCAAGTACATTTTTTAAGTCCATATAACATTAGTCTATAATAAAACACGTATCAAGTTGAAATTTATTCCCCGTACATTTTCTCCCTCATTTGTGTCTTATCACCCTTACCGTCGCCCCTCTCTCTCTTCCCCCATTCTCTCCTCTTTGTTACATCGAACACACACAAATTCTTTCTCCCCATTCTTACATCTCTATCTCCGGTTGGAACTCTAGCGACATTCCAAAGCATTTCTCTCTCTCTCCTCCCATCTCTCCATCCTTTGTTTCGCACACACGCACAAATACACACACACCAAACACACATAGATACAAAAATAGATCACACACAAATAGGCAAAAACCCACACACATGCTTAAACCCCCTCCCCTTTCCCTGTCCTCTTTGCTTGCCCCCGCCCCCCAACACACACAACACATATTTGGTGTTAAATTTTAGGGAAATAATTGTATTTTGTCTTAATTTGTTGCTAATTCATACTTCAGACCAAGTGTTTATTAAAATGTCAAAGATAAATATTGTATACTCTACCATTGATATTTTGTATGATTGATATGAATTCACTATATACCTATTTAGTGGGTTGAATTTAGGGCCGTCTTTGATAGGCAACTATTCATATGACATTCATTGGATTATTTTCTTTGGGTTTTAATTTATTCTTTTTTTCGTCTATTTTAATTTATTCTTTCTCTTTGTTTAATTTCAACTATGCCATTGATAATAAAATTTTATTTGTTTATTCGATTGACATTTGATGCTTATTTATTTTTTGGATTGTGCAATAGATGATCAAAGGTTTAGAGTTGATGCCATGTATGTGTGCAATGGGTATTTGATTTTGAACATTCATGGCGTCGATTTATGAATTAGTTTACTGGGGAGTTGTAGTGTTAGTTGAATTTTGGTTATAATTTTATGAAATTAGTTTATATTCATTATTGCTTTGATTTGTTCATATGATTTGCTTATTGTCCCCATCCACCGGGAAATATATATTTTTTCTAAATAGATCTATTTGTGGTTGTTAGCAAATAGATCTATTATTTTCCCCAGTGTCTTCTCCGCACCCCTAAGCAAAAGGTTGTAATGAAGTACTTTATTCATCACGCCACGGGAATGCTTGAATGCCCCAACTTGAATTTTTTCATTGAACTACGTCGGGTCCTCAGACACTAGGCTTGCATATTCTGGGAGTGATTTCCTCCCTAGGGTGTTATTGGGAAAGATAGGGGTGTTGGAGTAGGCCTCTGATACTACAATGCCTCAACGATGACTATCAGGGTGACCTCAATCACCTTCCCCCTCACATTCGTCTTCAACAGGCACAAATCTTCATCCACCACCCCCAACCTCTGATAAAATTTCTTACAAATGGGAAGCACATACCCCTCCACCACTTGGAACCAAAAATATAGGCCATAGCCCTCAATCGCTCGGACCACGTCATCGTGTGGCCCGAGGGTGGGCCTATCCATTTGTCGCTTTCACGTCACATTATTGGCTTTAATGCTCTCCGTGCGAGCGTCATTCCTTTTTTTCTCCCTTTGCTCCCCACCACTAGGTGCTCGACTCCTCAGCCTTCTTGCGGGACCCGGTTCCCACTTGAGGTGGTGAAATAGGGATCGTTTGTTTAGCGCAGGCCATCAAAATAAAAAATGCCCCTAGGGCGAAGAACGGTAACAACCAACCCCAAAACAACTTAAACATACCACGAGATGAAGGTGGAGACTTACCCATTCTAGCCATTTCAAAAATCCAAGCTTTGAGTGAATATCACAGCTTTTGATGGACTGGGTGATGTTTTGTGGAGAAGAGAGGATGTTTGGGGGGTATTTGAGAGAAAAGAAGTTTGGGAAGTGCAACAAAATCAAGGGGAATCAAAACTTGAGGGAGGAAATCTATGGATTTGGAGGATATCCAATGTTTCTTTGAATGTTTAGAGCATTTTTAGAGATAAGGGAGTGTTTTTGAAATGGAGATCAATGAGGCAGATGAAGGGTTTTCCCAAAAAATTGGGTTTAAAACTCTCGTTTTTAAAATTCTAGGCACGAGCTACTGGTAAGTCGTGAATGACCTACCCGGTAGTTGACCCTTCTGGAAACCTTCTACCAGTAGGTAATGCTTATGCTACCGGTAGCTTCCACTTATACTATTTCAACCATTCTGCCACGAGCTACCAGTAAGTCATAAGTCTTCTACTTGTTGCTTGTTCAATTTCTACACAAATTTTCTATTTTCTCATCCACACTCTTACTCCAAGTTTATTCAACTCCAAAGCATTCTAATGACCTATTTCCTAACTCAACTACCCAAAAACATGATCCATGCCAGTAAACCACGATATATGACTATTACTAAATTCATTTATGAATTTGCGATGTGATTTGAGTCTTGATGCGTTCAAAATGTATGTCATGGAATTCTAAATTAAACAAAATGAATGCCCATCAATTAAAGCACAACATAAAGTAAAGGGTATTCCAAATTCTTTCTCATGTCTAAAATTTGAGACATATTCCCTTATCCTACTAGCTTTGGGTTGTCAAAATTAACTTTCTCCAAACACCCGAACTCATTACACATGAATTTCATCATATCTTTAAATGTTATTCTAGATCATACACCTACACATTTTCTTTCAAAACTCGTGTGTGTGTGAAATGAATATGCAATTTAAACATTCACTCAATAGAATCCATAGTCATTTGGCTATCCAAATTCAACTTTGATGCAATTCTCACCAAGGGTTTCCGTAAAAAAATAAATAATTCAATGATTATACCGGTATGCTATATATGTGAGATGAAATCTTGTGCACAAACCAAAATATACTCACATATAATCCAAAAAATGACCTGCATGCATAACAATTGAAATAACCTTAGCATAATCTCATGAATGGAATGTTAGGGCAATAGATAACAAAACCAACTTTTCTTTTCATTTAAAGTGTGCTCTCGCCATGCTTTCTCTAGATCATTTGAGGCTTTCATGGGTTGTAATGAGGCCTTGGGGTCATAATTGGGTTGAGTGAAATGAAGTGTAGAAGGAGACAAATAGTTATTTTGAGGACATGACATTTATTATAAAAAATCTTTTTTTTGTGGAATTTTCATTTTTACACCTTCACATCGACTTTTATGTCTTTGTTTTTCTTCTTTCCGCAATATTTTTCTTTTCTTTTTTTTTTTCAACCCCTTTTTTCTCTTTTTTTCCTGGCTTTCTCTCTTCTTTTTCATTCAAAATTTGAATTCAGCATCATTCATCCCTTTTTGGGTTTCCTCACCATATTTCCCTTTCTTCATGATTAATCACGGTCAGTCTCGAAAAAACCAAGGTGTGGTAATTGTAATCATGTTGCACTAGCTTGGTGAAAACAAGTGGCATGACGACTAATTTTCAATTAAGGCTCAATCATGACACTAGGGATAAATTTTTCACAAGAAAAGGTTAAGGCTTAACGCAATTCAAAGATGACCTATGATCATATCTAGATAAGCATGGGGAGACATATTGACATTTTAAGACAAAGTCAATCAACTATCCATATGCACTCTAACCAAAATAAGCATAATGAGATTATTGAACAGATTTTGAATTTGAAAAATTGTTCATTTGAGTAAATGTAAGTTCCCTAAAACAAGGATTAACACTAAAACTCACATGGGTACTTACTACATATCCACTATGTATGTCAAGCTCTAAAATATGGATCCAATTAGTAAATTGTCAAAATTTCACATTCAAGATGCATTATGGTTGAGTTTGAATGAAAACACGTATGTGCTACTTAGGCATACGATAAACTTCTATGGTGTACTCATGCGTTCAAAATTCAAAATGAAGATTAAACAATCACAGATCGCATAACAATTTGAATAGAGAAATGTGGTTCAACATTTAGATATGTTCCACAAAAAAATTAGGATTTTTCAAAATTTTTCACATATTTTCAACTATTCTATACAAAAATTAGTGTATCATGCAAATGATACACCTCACCCCCCAAATTGAATTACACATTGTCCTTAATGCAACAAAAAAACATGAAATGAGATAATGAAATTTAAAATACAAGAAAGGTAAGTGAACACCTTGCAATGAGCTTTAACAAAAATACCATTATTTGCACACATGAAAAAAGAACACTATGTATAGATGAAAGTAAGTAAACAATTTAACTTGTAAATTAAAGGACAAATGAAAACAACTGTACATTGATATCTACTTAAACAGTTATGCCTCAACAACATCCGGATAGATCGGATCTACTAACTCCTCTTCTCCTTGAATTTCAAAAACCCTCGAAGAATGGTTTAAATCTTTGGTCATTGACCTTGAATGTTTTGCCTTCTTTAGGGGTTTTCTATGTCTATGACTC